AGGGCTAGGAGAAATTAGGATAAAAGGGTTTAGGAATGTAGAAGCCCTAGCTAGATGGCTGTTTTTACCTGAATTTCGAATGGACTTCTCATAATACCCAGCTTGTTATTTTATGTTGGCTGCACTATATCCACAGTCCAATATATATGTTTAAAACTCCTTTAGAAGATGCAGCCTCACTGGGCACCAGTGGCTCATGCCTTTAATCCTAGCTAATCAGGAGGCTGAGATCTGAGGATGGCGGTTCAAAGCCAGCCTGGGCAGGAAAGTCTGTGAAACTCTTATCTCCAAAATAAAAAAAACACAAAAAACCTTTAGTGGCGCTGTAGCTCAAATGGTAGAGCGCTCACCTTGAGCAGAAGAGCTGAGGGACAGCACCCAGGCCAGAGTTCAAGCCCCACAACCGACAAAAAAAAGAAGAGGAGGGCTGGGAAGGTGGCTCAGTGGTAGAGCGCTTGCCTTGCCTGCATGAAGCCCTGGGTTCGATTCCTCAGCACCACATAAGCAAAAAGAAAAAAGCCGGAAGTGGCGCTGTGGCTCAAGTGGTAGAGCGCTAGCCTTGAGCTGAAGAGCTGAGGGACAGTGCCCAGGCCCAGAGTTCAGGCCCCACGACAGGATCCAAAAAAAAAAAAACCAACTTGAAACTTTGAAATTACTTCAGTTTTTTTGTTTGTTTGTTTTTTTGTTTTTGTCAGTCACAGCACCACTTCCTGAAATTACTTCAAGAGGGAGTAGGAGAATCAGTAGAACTCATAGGCACAAGCAGAAACTTTTTCAAAAGAGTCTGAGGGGCACAACGGATTGGAGAAAAACAAATGGGATTACATCAAAATGAAAAGTTTTTGCACAGCAAAGAACACAGTTACTAAACTAGAAAGATAGCTAACAGACTAGGGAAAGATCTTTACCAGCAATACATCAAAGTCCTAGTATCAAAAATATACAAGGAGCTCCCTTGCCATAAAAGGTAATGCAAATCAAACAATTCTGAGATTCATCTTACCTTAGTTAGATTGGCCAACATTGTAAATTCGAACAACAAATGTTGACGAGGATGTAGGGAAAAAGGATCCCTATTGCATTGTTGGTGGGAATGTAAACTAGTACAACCACTCTGGACAGCAGTCTGAAGATTCCTCAAAAAACTAAACTTAGATCTTCCCTACAACCCAGCCAAACTACTCCTGGGCATCTCCACGGAATATCTCAAGCCAGAATGCCATAAAGACACTGTCACATCCATGTTCGCTACTGCATTATTCACAATAGCCAAGTTGTGGAAACAGCCCAGATGCCCTACAATAGATGAGTGCATTCAAAAAATGTGGTACCTGAACACAATAGAATTTTATATAGCCATTAGAAAGAATACTAATATGTCATTTGCAGGGAAATGGATGAACCTAGAACAAATCTTGTTAATAAGTGAGGTAAGCCAAGCTCAGAGACAAAATGATGCATGTTTTCTCTCATATGGGGAAGCTAGGTCTAAATACCAGGACATAATAAATTATGGAGGTCCGTAGGCATCACACACAATGAGAACAAAGAAGATTCCCCTTGGGAGAGGAGTAGAAAGGCACAATGCCTATGTGCATCTGATTATACAAAATATTTATTGAAGCTGGGTGCCAGTGGCTCACGTCTGTAATCCTAGCTACTGAGGATGGCAGTTCAAAGCCAGACTGGGCAGGAAAGTCCCCATGAGACTCTTATCTCCAATTAACCACTAGAAACCCAGAAGTGGCATTGTGGCTCAAGTGGTAGAGCACTAACCTTGAGCTCCCAAGCCCAGAGTTCAAGTCCCACAACCAAAAAAAAAGCCAAAAAAAAAAAAAAAAAATTTAATGAAATGAACTCCAGGAAATGAAAACAAGAAGTCTTTTCTGGTTCGTTTTTTCTTATCATTCCTTTTTGTACTGTTTATTCATTTACATGTCTTTGGGTGTGTATGGAGAGACAAAGGGTGAACAAATGCAGCATTGGTACTCAGTATGTTGAAAATGAACTATACAATTTATAGGTAGGGATGGGAGAGAAAAGAGAGAGCAAGGGAATGGGTGACATTACTCAAAAAGAAATGTGCTCTTTACCTGACTTACATAATTTTAACCCCTCTGTACATCACCTTTATAATAACAATAAAAAGTTTTTTAAAAAGGCAAAACATAAAATTGTTAGTAGTAGTCATACAAGAAATGCAGAGCTGAGCGACGATGGCTCATGCCTGTAATCCTAGCTACGTAGAGGAGGCTGAGATCTGAGGATTGAGGTTCAAAGTCAGCCCAGACAGAAAGGCCAGACCATGAGACTCTTATCTCCAATAAACCACTCAGAAAACCAGACGCCATGGCTCAAGTGGTAGAGTTTTAGCCTTGAACTGAAAAGCTGCTGGACAGTGCCCAGGCCCAGAGTTCAAGACCCATGACTGACAAGAAAGACAAAGAGAGAAGGGAGAAAGAAAGAGAGAGAGGGAGAGAGAGACGAGAAAGAGAAAGAGAGAAAGAGAGAGAGAGAGAGAGGGAGAGAGGGAGGGAGGGAGGGAGCAAGGAAAAAAGGAAGGGAGAGAGGGAGGGAGGGAGGGAGGAGGAAAAAAGGAAGGGAGAGAGGGAGGGAGGGAGGGAGGAGGAAAAAAGGAAGGAAGGAAGGAAGGAAGGAAGGAAGGAAGGAAGGAAGGAAGGAAGGAAGGAAGGAAGGACGAAGGAAGGAAGGAAGGAAGGAAGGAAGGAAGGAAGGACGAAGGAAGGAAGGAAGGAAGGAAGGAAGGAAGGAAGGAAGGAAGGACGAAGGAAGGAAGGAAGGAAGGAAAGAAGGAAGGAAGGAAGGAAGGAAGGAAGGAAGGAAGGACGAAGGAAGGAAGGAAGGAAGGAAGGAAGGAAGGAAGGAAGGAAGGACGAAGGAAGGAAGGAAGGAAGGAAGGAAGGAAGGAAGGAAGGAAGGAAGGAAGGAAGGAAGGAAGGAAGGAAGGAAGGAAGGAAGGAAGGAAGGAAAGAATGCAGGCAGACAGAGGTGACTCACCTATGTCTACTACTTGGGAAGTTGAGATTGGGAGGATCACCATTCAAGGTCAGCCCAGGCAGAAAAGTTTGCAAGACTACTTCTCAATAAATAGCTGGCACAGTGGCATGTACATGTTATCCTAGCTTTGTAGAAGGATACTCCAGGGCAGCCCAGGCAGAAAGTTTACAAGATCTGCTTCCTAACCAACAGCTGTGCACACTGATTCAAACCTATCATCCTGTCCAGGATACCATCTCAACAAAAGATGAGTTAGCCAGGCACCATTGGCTCGCAACTATAATCCTAACTACTCAGAAAGCTGAGATCTGAGGATCACAGATAAGCCAGTCCACGCAGAAAAGTCTGTGAGGCTCTTATCTCCAATTAATCACCAAGATGCCAGAAATGGAGCTGTAGCTCTAGTAGCAGAGCATTAGTCTTGAGCATAAAAGCTTAGGACAGCACCCAGGATCTGAGTTCAAGACCAAGGAACAACACAAAAAAAGAAATAAAGGAGGAAAAGAAATCTCTTTTGTATTTGAGCTGATCAAAAATTTGCTATCAGTAGTCTTTTACTGCTATTTCCTGCATGGAGAGTAGGAAATGTTTCTTATACCAACTATTCATTCATTCATTCATTCATTCATTTATTGGTCTGTCGTGGGGCTTTGAACTCTGGGCCTGGGCGCTGTCCCTCAGCCCTTCAGCTCAAGGCTAGCTCTTTACCACTTGAGCCACAGCACCAGTTCTAGGAAATGTTTCTCTATTTCTCCATACTTTAAATACTTGCTAAAACAAAGCTAGGGAGGAAAGGAAGATTTACTGTCCATTGAGTTACTGCTACTTCTTACTAATTTCTTTGTAAGTAGTACTGCAAAGGTTAGAGGCATAAAATTCTGCCTTTGATCTTCCTCCCTCTTCAAATACCTTGACTTTAATTCACTAGAGGGAGTAAAAATTCTAAACATAGAAGAGAAAATCAATACTGAGAAACACAGTTTCTGACTTTCATCAGGCATGAAGACTAATTCTTTTTTTTCTCTCTCTTTCTGACAATATTGACTGTTGAACTAAGGACCTCATACTTGTTAAGCCGGTATTCTACCACTGAGCCATGGCTTTCTTGCACTGGTATTTTCAAGGTAGGGTCTTGAGGGTTTTTTTGTTTTGCTTTGTTTTGGTTTTGGTGGTTTTGTTTGTGTGTGTGTGTGTTGGGTTTGTTGTTGTTTTGTTGTTTTTCCAGTCCTGGGGTTGAACTCAGGGCCTGGTAACTGTCCCTGAACTTCTTTTGCTCAAGGCTAGCATTCTACCACTTGAGCCACAGCGCACTTTGGCTTTTTCTGTTTATGTGGTACTGAGGAATCAAACCCTTGGCTTTATGCATGCTATGCTGCAAGCCCTCTACCACTAAACCATATTCCCAGCTCTGAGGGTCTTAATTTTAATGCCTAGGCTAATCAGAGCTTTGATCCAACTACTTGTGTTTCCCCTTGTCACTGGGGATGAAAGGTACATGCTACTTCACCCAACTGTAGCTGAAATACCAGGTGGCATATGTGACTATGTCTAGCCACTGACTGAGATAGAGGGTTGCAAACTTCTTGCCTGGGACTTGCCTCTAACCATACCCTTCAACTTCTACCTTCCAGGTAGCTACGATTATAGGTTAGAGCCACCATGCCCAGGAAGAGTAATTCGTTTTTTCACAGCCAACAGCCACACACACACACACATACACACCTTTCTCCTACTACTTCACAGCCAACAGCCACATACACACACACACACACACACACACACACACACACACACACATACACATCTTTCTCCTACTGCTCAAAAATAAAGAACTGGACTAGAGGCATGATTCAAGTGATACAATGCCTACCAGCAAGCAAGCACCAGGGCATAAATTCAATTCCCAGTATCACCAAAAAAACAAACAGCCCTTTATTCCCTTTGGTATACTTTCTTCTTTCAATACTCCACAGTAAACTTACTTGTCCTCAGCTTTGGTGAAGATGATCTTATCCTGAGGATTACTTGCCTTCAGGGAACATATTGGAAGTAGCTCAGGATACATGAAAACCTTGCTTGTGGCCAGTATCCAAGCCACTTGCTTTGGCAAACAGGGAAATTCACCAGCTGAAAGAGAAAATATCTCTGATAAATAGAATACTAGGACCAAAGATAGCTTTCCAAAGTTTGTGAATGCAGTTCGCATTCAGGTAGAACTGTCCTTATCTAATCTGACCTGTTCCGACTTACCTAACTTCCTCAAAATAGTTTCCAGTCCTCTTCAACTTAACCTAGGCCTAAAAGTAGTACCAACCAATGTCAGTATAAGTTGATACTCTTATCCTTCCTGTGTGGAACATGTTAACATACTAATAACATAAACACTTAGAAAGTACCTCGCAATACCTAGCATATAGTATATGCTTAAAAAATGTTTACCACTTTGCACTTTTAAATCCTTGAATAATAAGAGACTTTCAATAATGTTTTCTCTCTTCTAGGACAAGATTCTAACTTCTTTAATCTCCCTCACAAGTCTGGTATTCCAACTTTTTGTTGCTGTTGCTTTGTGTGTAGTTGAATTCAGGGCTTCAAGCTTGATCAGCTGGTACTCTACCACTTGAACCATGCTGGCTTTTTGCTGTTTATTTTGGTTTCAATTCAACATGTTAGTTTGAGTACAATACTTCTTGATCAGAATCATGCCTTGGAGATGGGGTCTTGTGGATTTTTCTGCTCAGACTACTTGATCCTCCAGGTCTCAGCCTACTGAGTAGTTGAGATTACAGGCATGAGCCACAAGTGCTTGGCTTTTGTTCCTAGGCTAGCCTCAAACTCAGAGCCCTTGTGCCTCAGCCACCCAAGTGCTGGCTGGAATTACAAGCCTGTGTCATTTTATCTGATTCTTACTTACTTTTTATTAAATTCTCCCATATTATTCCTAAGGTTGAGAACAAGAAAACCATGAAATTAATGAGACAGTACATCTGATTCTGTCCCCCTAAGCTTCTCAGATTTAGGAGCTTACACCTTTCCAGAAACATGAATTACTCTATCCATACTTCTCTTTGTATTAATATTCTTTCTGTATATCCAGAGGAAAAACACATGGCTGTAAATGTAAAAGTCATTACTACAGTTTGTATTAAATGAATTGCTTATTACCAATACACAGCTACGCTAATTAAAGAAGGTGGTAATCAGTCTGACAGAATACACTTAAATTTAACTATATTCAACTTGAAAGAAAAGTCCAAACACAAACCTAAATCCAAAATAAATCACAACTGATTTACTATATTAGGAAATAAGTCAGAAGAAATATTTACCTTGAGGAAGAAAGGAAATATACATACATATACACACACACACACACATATATATATATATATAAAAACACTAAGCCAATGAAAAATAGAAATTAAACTTACATTTAGTTATAAGGTTATATATTTGGCAAATGTGTAACATCTCTAACTTTGTGTCTAATTCCATATCTACAGTTCATTCAGAATGGGTATACCACCTACCCTATTCTACAATAATATAATAATTATGGGAGTAAAATGAGTTGATTCTGAGCTATTCTCTCAATCCATAAATAAGAGCATAATACCTAAACATTACCAAACTTTACACTTGACTTCCGTCTTTTTTGTTCTTTTTTTTTTTTTTTTTGCCAATCTTAGGGCTTGAACTTAGGGCCCGGGCACTGTCCCTGAGCTTCTTTGTGCTCAAGGCTAGTGCTCAACCACTTGAGCCACAGCACTACTTCTGGCTTTATCTAAGTAGTTTATTGGAGATAAAAGTCTCACAGAATTTCCTGCCAAGGCTGGCTTCGAGTCGTGATTCTCAGATCTTAGCCTCCTGAGTAGCAACGATTATAGGCATGAGCCACTGGCACCAGGCTTTGACTTCCATCTTTACCAGAACCCAGTTGTCTTGAATTGACACCTAACACTTCCTAACATCTCATTTAAGCCAATTCTTACCATAAGTTCCACATCTCTACCTGCTCACACTTCTGTTTCTGTCTTCTGCCTCCATACCTTACTTAAGAATGGATATTACCAGGTAACTCTAAAATGTAAAAATACAAAGGAAGGATAAAGAGAGAAGGAAGAAAGTTAAAATATTCTATTCCTTATCCCTAGGAAATTATCTGACTCATCTCTCATTGCAAATAAAAACCTGAAGTTAACACATCTGTCCCCTACCAGTCTTCTTGACAGTTTTACGAGGACTCCAGTCAATATGAACATGTGTGTTGAAGTCTTCAATGAGCTGCATAGCTCCCATCAAGTTACAGGGTTGGAACAAGGTCTGAAACTTGGGGTTGAACTGTTGCTGAAGAGTGATGGAGTTTTCAGCAAAGGTTCCCAGTTCTTTCTGGGAAAACAGGACACAAAAAGATCTAAGACAATTCCAGATAATTAATACCAGTACCCCTTAGCCTCTGAATGCTAAATTATCCTTCTTAGTACAAGATAAATAAAGATAAAAACTAAAGTCTTGCTGGGTGCTGGTGGCTCACACCTATAACCCTAGCTACTCATAAGGGTAAGGCTAAAATCTCAGGATTGAGGTTCAAAGCGTGCGTTTACCCAGATCGGAAACACCATGAGACTCTTAGCTTCAATTAACCAACAGAAAAGTGGAAGTGTGCTATGACTCAATGATAGAGCAAAGTGATAGAGCCTTGAGCATAAAAGCTCAGAGACAGTACCCATACCCTGAGTTCAAGCCCTATGACTGACCAAAAAAAAAAAATTAACATTATTTAACATTATTTTTTAAGGTCTTCTCTTGCTGAGTCAAACTCAAGGAATGTATGATGTAGTCACTTGCTCTTGTTCTTTTCTTTCTTTCTTTCTTTCTTTTTGTCAGTTGTAGGGCGTGAACTCTGGGCCTGGGCACTGTCACTGAGCTCTTCAGCTCAAGGCTAGTACTCTACCACTTGAGCCACAGCGCCACTTCCGGTTTTCTGGTGGTTAATTGGAGATAAGAGTCTCGCAGACTTTCCTGCTGGCTTTGAACTGTGATCCTCAGATGTCAGCCTCCTGAATAGCTAGGATTACAGGTGTGAGCCACTGGCACCTGGCTCCTTGTTCTATTCTTAAAGTGTTGTTAGCCTTGTTTATATACTGTCTAGTTTTCAAGGTACAATTAAGATCTTCAAGAATGAGGGCTATTCTGATTTTGTGTGTGTGTATGTGTGTGTGTGTGTGTGTGTGTGTGTGTGTGTGCACACACACACACTGCTCCTGGCACTTAAACTCAGAGCCTGGGAGCTATCTTTAAGCTTTTTTTGCTCAAGGCTAGTGCTCTACCACTTGAGCCACAGCTCCACTACCGAGTTCTTAGTAGCTAACTGGAGATAAGAATGTCACAGACTTTCCTGGCCAAGCTGGCTTTGAACTACAATCCTCAGATCCTTACAGGTGTGTGTCATCCACACCTGGCCTAGTTCTAATTTCTAGTTTTTATCTTCTCTGAATAAATAAAATAACCTCATGATCTTCTGAACACAGTAGAAGGTAAATATACTCTGCTAAGTACCAAAGAAGCTAGGACAATTAGTAATCTTATCACTCAAACTCCAAAGATATCTGCCAAAAAAGCAAAAGAATCATTGTTATTTGTACCAAAATTATTCTACTACTTTATCTATGCCTCTAGTTCAATTATTTATTTATTTATTTAATTTTTTGGTCAGGGCTTAAACTCAGGGCCTGGGTGCTGTCCCTAAGCTCCTTTGCTCAAGGCTAGCACTCTACCACTTTGAGCCATGGCACCGCTTCTGGTTTTCTAGGGGTTAATTGGAGCTAAGTCTCATAGACTTTGCTGCCTGACCTTGTTTTGGACCATGATTCTCATATCTCGGCCTCCTGAGTAGCTAGGATTACAGGCGTCAGCCCCCAGGGCCTGGCTCAAATTTAAAATTTATAAACCCTTCTGCATAATTCTTTAAAATTTCATAAGCATAAATGAAAAGCAGCCAGGCTGAGATCTGAGGATGGCAGTTCAAAGCCGGCTTGGGCAGGAAAGTCTGTGAGACTCTTATCTCCAAATAACCACCAGAAAACTAGAAGTGGCACTATGGCTCAAGTGGAAGAAAACTAGCCTTGAGCTGAAGAGCTGAGGGACAGCGCCCAGGCCCAGAGTTCAAGTCTCACGACTAACCAAAAAAAAAAAAAAAAGAAAAGAAAAGCAGTTATAAGTGAACATCTAAAGCAGTATCAGTACCACTCGGGTACTGGGGGGTTATCATCTATAATCCTAGTTAACTAAGAGAATCAGATCTAAAATATCATGGTTCAAAGCTAGCACAGGCAGAAAAATCTGTAAGATTACATCTCCAAAGAAACTAGCAAAAAGCCAGTCTTAAGATATGGCTCAAGGGGTAGAAAATTAGCTGAGAGAGCAAGCAAACAAGCCAAGCTACATGAAGCCCTGAGTTCAAACTTGGTACGCCACCTCCCTCCAAAAAAAAAGAAAATGTCAGGGTAGATCCAAAGATGGAGATGGTAACATAGTAAGAATGTGAAGGACAGTTTTCCTGATTTCCTTGGAATTTGTGAGTAATATTCTGTCAGTAAATAAAAGAAGCCATAGGACAAAGCAGGCAGTGACCAAAAATATTGGAGAAAATACATGTAGACAATGAAGAGTGAGTAACATTAAATGTGCCAAGCTAACTTCATACTCAAGTGTATAGAGTTAGGGATATTTAGAACCTTACAAGAAACATTCTGGTGGTACTGGCCTCTGAACTCAGGTTGGGGTTGGAGATGGCGAGAAGGTGAATTTGTGTCAATAGCTGAACATGCTGGAGAGGAAAAGAAATTAAAACATTCGTGAACACAAAGACATCTTACCAAGATGTTTCAAGTTCATCACACAAATTTTGCTTTCTGGAGATACTATATGTAGGACCTTGACAGAAGAAGTTTAACCTCAGACTAGAGAAAGGAAAAGATTTTGTCTGGTCCTGGATGCCAGTACATTTCAGAATGAAGTCTCCAATTCTGAATACACTTGGGGTCCTTCTAAATTTCTACATGAACCATAAGGCAGGACCTGACTGACATGAAGCTTCTATGGTATCCATGACTTCGACAGGTAATAGGACAGCTATCCTGACTTTTACAAAGCCACTCGTTTTTGGTTTTAGTGCCAGGCCATGAGATGATCCAGCCCTAACACCAAGAACAGTCTTACCTGTTGCATTTGCTGCTGGAGTCTCTTCCTCTGTGCTGGATCTAGAGTCAGAGTTTGGTGAACTTTCTCACTCTGAGGCTTAAGCCTCTCTGCCTCTGGATGTTGTTTTGCTGAAGATTTCTTCATCTTTAGTTGTTCAAGTAGCTCCTTCACAGTCCGATGTTGTTCATTTAGCAAGTTCGAAAGTGGTTCCTCAAACCTATCCCCATTAGGAAGATGAATGAATCTGATCATTCCCTTAGTTCACAATATATCCAATATATTCTTTGTAATGGTATACTAAAAGAAACTAACCAGGGAGCCGGCGGCTCACGCCTGTTATCCTAGCTACTCAGGAGGCTGAGATCTGAGGATTGCAGTTCAAAGCCAGCCTGAGCAGGAAAGTCCATGAGACTTATCTCCAATTAACCACCAGAAAACTGGAAGTGGCACTGTAGCTCAAGTGGTAGGGTGCTAGCCTTGAGCTGAAGAGCTCAGGGACAGCGCCCAGGCCCAGAGTTCAAGCACCAAAACTGACCAAAAAAAAAAAAAAGAAAGAAACTGAAAAATGTCCATTTCCTGTTAATCCTTAAATCTCATTTTAACCAATAATATAAGCCTTAACCAAATACTTTCCTAAAATGATAGAATAGATACAAATAACATAATCCAGCAACTATGAGTGTTAGAGTGTGAGCCTAGAATGCTTAATTAAGGCCCTAGATTCAGTACTACCAACATCTCTCACACAAAATATTCTGGCCAGGTGTTAGTGGCTCATACCTATAATCCTAGCCAATTAGGAGGCTGAGATCTGAGGATTGAGGTTCAAAGCCAGCCTATGCAGGAAAGTCTATGAGACTGTTTATCTCCAATTAACCACCAAAAAGCTGGAAGTGGAACTATGGACCAAGTGATAGGGCACCAGCCTCGAGCACAAAAACTAAAGTACAGAGCCTATACCCTGCGTTTAAGTCACTCACACACACTCTCACACACACACACACACACACACACACACACACACACAATCTGAATTATGTCACACACTATTGTTCTACAATCACTCCTCTAAATAATACATTAATAGATAGGACATTAAATAAAAATCCAGGAGCAGAGAAATATCTGCTAGGACCTAGTAGAAACTCATTCTTGCACCATCCTGACGTCCATATTACTCTGGGACTTGTTCTTAACAGTAATACAGGATACAAATATTTGATCTCTAATTTACCCATTACTCCGTGCCCAGGTCTTGCTTATCCATCTACCTATCCATTCAGCTATCCTGACTTCCTTCCTTAAAAAGTCAAAACCTTTCTAGAATGAAGAAAATATGCTAAAATGCCTGATAGTTTAGATGAACAAAATGTAGAGTATTACCATACTACCATCAATGAAAATATCATGCCAGGGGCTGATGGCTCAAGAGTATAAGCCTAGCTCCTCAGAAGTCTGAGATCTGAGGACTGTTGTTTGAAGCCAGCCTATGGAACTAAGTCCAGGCTGGTTTTTAGGGTTTATGTTTTGTTTTAGGAGACTTTTTTCCGAGGTAGTATCTCTTGCTATATATCCCAGGCTAGTCTTGAACTCATTCTGTAGTCCAGAATGAGCCTGACTTCATGATCTTCCTACTGTAGCATCCAGAGTAAAAGAAGTACATGGTTATACCAGCACACCTAGCTCTTAATTCCCAATTTTAAAAATATACATACATAATTGATTGGTGGAACCAGAATATGTTTGTAAATCAAAACCTATAGCTTCCCAAGAAGCTATATTTATACCAAACCTGTATGTATACCAAAATGATGTTCTATGAAGTATTACTTGAAATAAGTGGGCCAAATACTGTCTTGGTATCTTGAGATTTTTAGTGCAGTTCCATTGTAGTATTTGTTACAATGGAGTCTGAAAGGTATTATTTTGTTAGAGTTGTTTGTTTATCAGTAGTATGACTTGAACTCTGGGCCTAGACACTGTCTCTGAGCTCTTCAGCTCAAGGCACTCTACCACTTGAGCCACAGTGCCACTTCTAGTTTTGTGATTAATTGGAGATAAGAGTCTCATGGACCTTCCTACCTGTGCTGGCTTTGAACTGCAATCTCAAATCTCAGCCTCCTGGGTAGCTAGGATTATAGGCATGAGCCACCGGCACCCAGCTATTACTGGTTTTTATAAGTTTATTATATCATCTTTTATACTTTAAGTGGATGGTTTGAAGGCCTAGCTGAACTTTCAAATGTACCCAAAGTTCTCTACTTGGGTACTAATGTTGTTTAGTTAAAACCCATGACTAGAGGGCTGGGAAGGTGGCTCAGTGGTAGAGTGCTTGCCTTGCATGCATGAGGCCCTTGGTTCGAGTCCTCAGTACCACATAAGCTGAACAAGCCGGAAGTGGCGCTGTGGCTCAAGTGGTAGAGCACTAGCCTTGAGCTGAAGAGCTGAGGGACAGCGCCCAGGCCCAAAGTTCAGGCTCCACAACTGACAAAATAAAACAAAAACAAAAAAAAACATGACTAATGAGAAGCTATAGGTCTATTAATTTTGCTTTGTTCTACCCATGGCACACACTGCATCCTGACCTCTAGTCATCTAGCTTTTATTGTATGCACCTATTCATATGGATTATAATAAAATGTAGATTTAAACCCTCAGCAAAAAATGCAGGGAAAATTAAAGCCTCCATTTTCTGGATGGTTCCAACTTCATTTAAGAAGATCAGTGCTGCAGGTGCTTCATGGTTTGCTCAATTAATGCCTTGGAGAGTAAAAACCTTTCAGATCCTCTACCAGATGTTAATGACAAGTAAGGAGACATACTGAACATTACAATTTAGTGTAGTTTCTGTGGCTGGCCACATGGAGTCCTACATACTTCTCCAGAACCACTCACCTAGAGAAGCTGCTATGGATGCCAGCTACTGTTTTTTCTCCTTTCCCAAACAGTTACAGCTTGATCTATAGCTGCACTGTCCCGTAACAAGGAGACTTCACTTAACATCTAACTCCCCCAGAGTTCTTCACCCATACAATAGCAACAGAAGCTAGTTGAAGCTGGGAAATTATTCATGATTCTAAAAACCTTATCAAAAATACCTACTTCCTCCATTTTAAACCTCAAGGTCTTTAGCCAGCCTACCGTAAGGCTTGTGGGGTATTAAAGTTAGGCCGAGTTTCAGTCACACGTTCCTCCTCTTCTGGGCCATCTTCTTCCTTATTGGAGAATCCCATCTCATCTTGGAACTGTGGACAAACAGAACATCTTCCTGAAGAATGGACAAAATTAAGTATAAACAGCAGATTACAGAATTTTAATAATGCTACACCCACAATGCACCTGCACTGGAACATTTTTCACTTCAGGGCTCCCATAACCCTACATTTGCAATAATTATTATGCTAAGAAAGAAGTCTCAATTAGGCAACAGTGGCTCATGCCTGTAATCCTAGCTACTCAGATGGCTGAGATCTGAGGATCGCTGTCTCATCATCCCTTGTTCTCATTCCAGGAAAATTACTTACAGTTTCAAATAGCTCTTCCATTAGCCCATTCACTTCCTTTTCTGTGGAAAAAAAAAGTTTAAAAAAAAAGTGTTGCTGGCAGAAATTATTTTCATTTTGCAATAAGGGAGAACGCTACAGACACAAATGTATTCACAAGTATATTCTGTTTCCAATAAGACAGTATGACAAAATCCTCATATCAATCCTTCATGCATTCATTTAAAAAACACTATTGAGCCAGGTGCCGGTGACTCACACCTATAATCCTCTGACTACTCAGGAGGCTGAGCTCTGAGGATCCCAATTTGAAGCCAGCCCAGGCAGAATGTCCATAATAATAAACTACTCAGAAAAGCCCAGAAGTGGTGCTATGGCTCAAGTGGTAGAGCACAACCTTGAGCAAAGAAGCACAGGGACAGCACCCAACCCCTGAGGTTCAAGTCCCATGACTGGCAAAAATAAACCAACAACAGCAAAACTTACCTATGCTTTTAGAAGCCTGAATATCCTAAGCTCCCATACTACTCTATATACTAGGAGAGCACAACCTCTGTTAGGTAAATGGTATACCTTCCATATAACTCATTTAGCACCATACTTTGTATTACAAATCTTTTTGTTTGTACCTTTACCAAGCTCACTGTCCACAGAACAGAAGTCTTCTCTCATTTCATCTTGCCATTCCAAGTAAACTTTTCCAAATAGTAAGAACTCAATACACAGTTTTGAGATATACAAATAAGTAATGGACAGTTTTCTAAATATATACCTAATTTTAAATACTTACAGAAATGAACAAAAAGAGAAAACTTAAATGTCCTATCTTGGTGGGCTGCAAACTTCATCCCCAAAAATCTACAAAGTAAACAAACAAGGAGAGCAGACAAGAGCAGGATTCATAGTAAACAGACTCACTGGTGATTCTCACTGCTCGATCAGTACGGAAGTCCTCTGTATCTGGTTCATCAAGATCTTCCAGGAAATTATATTCTGGATCATCATCATCATCTGCTTCATCTGGGGAAAAAATATTTTAGATACTTACTCCCAAGTTCAAACTCATTTAGAAAAAAATTTAAGATTTTCAATACTACATTGTACAATTAAGATTCTAATACCATAACCATCTGTTCCAATTAAGATCCTATTTCTTAATTTGTTGAGTAAAACATTATTTTTTTTCCTAATGCCTTTGTGTGGGTCATTTCTCACCACTGGATCATCTCATCTACTTCTCTAATTAAAGTCAGTTTGCCTCCTTCCTTCAAATAAATCTCTCAATAGGCATCAAAAGCCAGAAAACTGAACATATAATTTATCTTATTAATCTCACTTTGAGTAGTGCATCTCAGGAAAAAAACACTTTTTTGTAAAAGCTATCTGTGCCATACTAAAACTAAATAAAAGAATGATATGCTACAGATAGAGTCCAAGGCTTATGTATGTGAGACAAACTGAGCCATACCATCTGCACCTTAATTTTCTTTTCTTTTTTTTGGGGGGTCCAGTCGTGGGGCCTGAACTCTGGCCTGGGCGCTGTCCCTCAGCTCTTCAGCTCAAGGCTAGCGCCCTACCACTTGTGAGCCACAGTGCTACTTCCGGCTTTTTTTTTTTTTCCTGCTTATGTGGTGCTGAGGAATCAAACTCAGGGCCTCTTGCATGCAAGGCAAGCGCTCTACCACTGAGCCACCTTCCCAGCCCTGCACCTTAATTTTCTTTAATGTTAACAATATAATTTTTTTTCACTATTGGAGTTTAGGATTCAGTTCCTCAACACTAGCTATATTTCAACTTCTCAAAAGTCACATGTGACTAATGGTTAGTATAATACATAAAAAATTTTCTTAAGATCGAACTGGTTTAAGGATATGTGAGGAAAAATATCATCTTACTCCCATAATTTAGGTTTGAAGGTATAGCCTAGTAATAGGAAATTTTGCTTAATATGCCTGAAGCCTTGAATTCTATTCTTAGCACTAGAAGAAATTTTTGCAATTTAATGACTGCACAGCCTACTGGGGCTTGAACTTAGAACCTGGTTGTTATCCCTAAGTTCTTTTTGCTTAAGGCTAGCACTCTACCATTTGAGCCACTTTCAGCATTTTGGCCATTTAAGAAGGGTCTCACAGACTTTTCTGCCCAAACTGGCTTCTAACTGTGAGTCTTAGATTTCAGCATCTTGAGTATGTAGTATTACAGGCATGAGTAACCAGCTCACAGCTGTTTGTTTTGAGACAAGTTCTCATAAGATTGCCCAGACTGTGTTTAAAAAACTCTCCTAGAAGTGGCGCTGTAGCTCAAGTGGTAGAGCGCTCGCCTTGAGCTGAAGAGCTGAGGGACAGCGCCCAGGCCCAGAGTTCAAGCCCCACGACTGACAAAAAAAAAAAAAAAACTCTCCTAGCTCAACATTCATAGAAGCTAGGACCCTATTTATAGACAATGTTTTGTGCATGCGCCAGTCCTGGGGCTTGAATTCAGGCCCTAAGCACTGTCCTTGATGTTTATTGCTCAAGTCCAGCACTACCAGTTGAGATGGCTGTAGCTCCACTTCTGATTTCTTGGTGGTTAGAGCTCATGGACTCTCCTACCTAGGCTTGCTTTGAACCACAATCCTCAGATCACAGCCTCCAGAGTAGGTACTATTACAGGCCTGAGCTACCAGCATCTAGCTTATATATACATTTTTGTACACAGTAGTTGGAAATTTTATACTGATTAACTCTAATTTGCATTATTTATGGATAGATAGCTATTTAAATACCAAGTTCATTTTATCTATTAGGGACTTCTCTCACAAAATTTCTCCTTACTTTCTAATCTAACAGTGTGTGTGCTCTAAGGAAGTCTCATTGTCAAATGTTCTTTACATACACTGGTGAGTAATGAAAGCTGTAGAAAAGGCCTATGACATATGGGTAGTGTGTACAAGTTTGGACGCATTTACTTGTGTGTAAGAACTGTAACAGACAGCTTCTGCCCACACCACACAAGTAAGTCAACCAATATTTTCAGAGTACCCACTTGGCAAATATGAGGGGAAAAAAATATTATTTTGTTGTTGTTGTTGGTCATGGGGCTTGAACTCTGGGCCTGGGCGCTGTCCCTGCGCTCTTCAGCTCAAGGTGAATGCTCTACCGATTGAGCTACAGCGCCATTTCAAAAAAAAATATTTTTAAGGCTAGCACTCTACCACTTGAACACAATTCCACTTCCAGTTTTTTTTTTTTTTTTGTAATTAATGGGGGCTAACAGTCTTACTGACTTTCCTGCCCAGATCTCAACCACCTAAGTAGCTTACAGGGATACAGGGATAAGCCACCAGAGCCCAGCCACCATGCTTTTTTTTTATTATTATTGGTTTTGGAGGTCAGAACTAAGTAGCCTAGGCTGGCCTTGAACTCAAAGATCCTCCTGCCTCAAGCTCCATAATACTGGGATTACAGATGTACAATACATGCTCAATTATTTTCCAATCTTTAGGATATATAAGAACTAGATTCCTATACAATACTCATTAGATTCTAACTCAGGAGGTATGACCCTGGATCTGTATCCTCAATAAATATTACCAACACACACACATCCTTATACTCCTTATTTCTGATTTATGTTCTAAAAGTCCTATGAGAAACACTGCTCTATGCTCCTCAATTGATGAACAAATCTCTATATCCTTTTCTCCCTAATCATTCCTCGGCTCTTTGAACAAAGGTGATGGCAAAATGACAGCAGCAAAATTTCTGCTCCTGATAAGGATTGAGAAACTCAACTTATTGTCAAAAACAAGAAGTAGGTTTTGCTTCTGAAAAGTTTTAAAATAAAAAGTGGCTTAACTTCTCTTGAGATATATTCTGAGAAAATTAAAATGGTTTCTAGTCCTAGTAGTATAACAAAGGAATCCTAATATTGAACAAGACAATGACATTTTTTTCTCTGGGATCTTACTCAGGATCTGGGCACTGTCCCTGAGCCTCTTGGTGCTCAAGGCTAGTGCTCTACCACTTGAGCCACAGTGCTACTTCCAGCTTTTTCTGAGTAGTTTATTAGAGATAAGAGTCTCCTGGACTTTCCTGCCTGAGCTGGCTTTGAACTAAGATCCTCATATCTCAGTCTCCGGAGTAGCTAGAAAGGATTAGAGGCATGAGTCACTAGCATCCGGTGGAGGCTTTTAATCTTGATCTCAAAGATTTTTCCAGTGGGCTAGTAGAAAAAAAGAAATGTCAAGCCAGTGAATCCTGTTTGTAATTCTGCTTATTCTGGAGGCTGAGACCTAGAAGATTAAGATTTGAGGGCAGCTCGGGCAGAAAAAGTTCACTAGACTCCATCTCCAAAATAACCAGCAAAAAAACGGGCTAAAAAGGTGCCTCAAGTAATAAAGTGCTAGCCTGAGGCCCTGATTTCAAGTCTGAGTAGCAAATAAGAAAGAAATGTCAATAAATGTCATCCAAGAGATATGCATGCATGCATGCATATATGTATGTATGTATATACATAGTATGTGTATATGTAAAAGTGTACATATGTTTTTGTGGAAGAAAGCTTTATATTTCTCCTGAGATTCTCATCGGGTTCCAGAAGCTTAGATTAATATCAGAAATACTAAAAGGATAACATATCAACTACTGATTATTAAGGAGCTGATTCTTCAACTGATATGTCAACAATCAGCTTCAAATTTCATCTCTTCCTATTTACACAATTGGGTGCATTTTCTTATTTATAATCACCTTTGCAAGAGAGTAAAAAAAAATGGTAAGATGAATATTAGCTCTCTTTCCTATCTGAGAAAAACCTTAAATTGAAATATAGCATGAGAATTCAATCCTTCCTATTCCTAAACATGTAAAAGTAAGAGGTAAACAAAACTATGTAATTGTTACAGATGCTCCTCCAACTATTATCAGTAGTTGTTTCTGTTTTGTTGTTTTTGTACTGGGTATCAGTGGTTATTTTTGGGCAGGAAAATGTTCTCTTCTAGAGGGGCTTTAGTAATTTTTTTAATTCAGTATTTGATTTATCTAGACCAAGCATTTACTCCTACTGTCCTCACAACAGAAAAAAAAAAAAAAAAGACAACAACCCTCTGGGAGGGATAAAAGCTTATAGAACCCAGTTACATATGATTGCACATCACCTCCATCCACCTGTCTCCTCTTCATCTTTTTTCTCCCTGTTCATTGTTTTTCTCAAAATCTTTCAAAAGTCCATCACAATTACCTACCTCTTTCATGTAGCTACAGCTGATCATCCTAATAGGAATTATCTTTCCCTCTTCTAAAACCTTACAACAAGCAGGGCGTGGTAACATGCACACTTGGGAGGCTGATGCAGAAGGATCGCTTGAAGCCAGCCTGGACAACCCAAAAATAAATAAAGTGTATTAGCTGGGTCCTCGTGGCTCGCACCTGTAATCCTAGCTACTCAGGAGGCTGAATGTAAAGTTTATGGTTCAAAGCCAGCCTGGGCAGGAAAGTCTGTAAGACTCTTTATCTCCAATAAACTACCAAAAAAAAGCTGGAAGTGAATCTGTGGCTTAAGTGGTAGAGCTCTATCCTTAGGCAAAAGAAGCTCAAGCTCAGCACCCACACCCTGAGTTCAAGCACAGAACTGGCAAAATAATAGTAATAATAACAATAATAATAATAGTATTATGAACCTAACAATGGGTCAGGCGCCCTGTTAGATTTTATTCCCTGACTAAATGATTATATTCCTTTATAGATCACAGAACCTAGTGCAATGCCTCTGACTCATGCCTATAATCCCAGCAACTGAGGAGGTTGAGATCTGAGGATCAAGGTTCAAAGCCAGCCCAGGCAGAAAAAGTCCCCATGAGACTCTTATCTCCAATTAACCACCCAAAAACCAGAAGTGGAACTATGGATCAAAATGGTAGAGCAAAAGAACTCAGGGACAGTGCCCAGGCCCTGAGTTCAAGCCGACCTCCCCCCCACAAAAAAAAAAGTACTACATAAATATTTGCTAAAGACTGGGAATATGGCTTAGTGGTAGAGTGCTTGCTTAGCCTGCATGAAGCCCTGGGTTTGATTCCTCAGTACCAAACAGAAAAAGCTGGAAGTGGCCCTGAGGCTTTAGTAGTGAGCAAAAGAAGCTCAGGAACAAGCCAGGCGCCTGTGGCTCATGCTTGTAATACTAGCTACTCAGGAGGCTGAAATCTGAGGATAGTGGTTCAAAGCCAGCTCGGGCAGGAAAGTCCATGAGACTCCTATTTCCAATAAACCACTAGAAAACCGGAAGTGGCACTGTGGCTCAAGCAGTAGTGTGCTTGCCTTGAGCTGAAGAGCACAGGGATAGCACCCAAGCACAGAGTTCAAGCCCCACGACCGACCAAAAAAAAAAAAAAAAAGCAGCAGCAGCTCAGGAACAGTGACCAGGCATTGAGTTCAAGCCCCAAGACTTGCAAAAAAAAAAAAAAAAATTGCTAACTGATGTACAATAAAATCAATAGTATCATAAAAAGTATACTCAAGGACATACTCATTTGTAATACTGAGCTTGAGTTTAAGTCCTCAAGCTATCTAATTCTTGAGTCATATCCCAGCCCTTTTTCCTTTAATTTTTTTCAAAGAGTGTCTTATGCTTGGCTTCTGGCAGTGAGCCTCCTAACCTCTGCCTCTCAAATAGCTCAGATTACAGACCTGAGCCATTATACCTGGCTTTTTTTTTAATTCAGTCTAAATTATTTTTTGCCCAGCTGGCTTCAAAGTGCAATGCTTTCTAACCCAAGTAGGTGGGGTTTAAAGGCAAACACTAGCACATCCAACTCATGAACTCATTGTTTTCTTTTATTTACTTACACTGACTTCTTCCTTGCTTTGCCTACCTACCTACTGATTCTATTTCCATCCAATTTTTTACCTATCCTCCCCAATGTTGTAAAACTATTCTTCTGGGTAACTGCATACTCCAACTGCACTGCTCTATGAGGTGCTGTCAATCACAGGACTGCATGCTAAAACAGTAACCCTATCAGTTCCACCCAACACCAAGAGATAAGAGATTAGGCATCACAATCAGATCAAGCCAATTTGTTCCCCTGGATTTTCTCAAACTGAAACTCTTAAGATTGTCAAAGCAAGAATACATGGAGTACCAACTTTAAAGAAAAAATAACTTGAATCAGCAACAGTGGTTATATGCTTGTAATCCTAGCTGCATGAGAGGTAGCGATCTGAGGATCATGATATGAGGCCAGTCTGGACAGAAAAGTTCCCAGATGCCATCACAACCAATGTCTGGGCACTGTAGCACCCTCCTGTCCAGCAGAAGCACAATGGCTGGGTGCAATGACATATGTCTATTATCCCAGCAACAAAAGGAAGCACTAATAGGAGAGCTACAGTCCAGGACAGCCAGAGTGTGAAGTGAGACCTTACCTTGAAAATAGCCAACACAAAACAGGGCTGGCAGAGTAACTCAAATGGCAGAGGACCTGCCTAACAACCTGGAGGTCCTGAGTTCAAACCCTAGTACAAGGAAGGAGGGAGGGGAGAGGAGGGGGAAGGAGGGAAGGCGAGGAGAAGGAAGAAAGGAAAAGAAAGAGGGGTAAGGAAGGAACAAAGGAAAAGAAAAGAAAGAAAGAGGGCTAGGAAGGTGGCTCAGTGGTAAAGTGCTTGCCTTGCATGCATGAGGCCCTGGGTTCGATTCCTCAGCACCACATAAGCAGAAAAAGCCAGCAGTGGCGCTGTGGCTCAAGGGGTAGAGAGCTAGCCTTGAGCTGAAGAGCTGAGGGACAGTGCCCAGGCCCAGAGTTCAGGCTCCACAACCAACAAAAAAAAGAAAAGAAAAGAAAGAAAAAGAAAATATTGAGAATGAAGCTTGAGTGACACAGAAAGAGGAAGAAAGATCCTACGATGCCTAGGTTCCATTGCAGGTTTTGCTATTTTTTCCTCAAGTCTCTATTCATTTGCCCTCAGAAAGATGGACTTAGAGTTCTTTTACTTTCATCATAAACACTCTTACTAAAACAATGTTCTTTTGATGAAGCTGTGAAGCCTTGTGAAATCACATATAAAATTATGTATTTATGCAGAAGGAGGATCTTTAGTATTCAAGACTCACAAGAGAATACTTGAAAAAAACAAGAGGGGTGGGTAGGTTGGGGAATGTGGCAGGAGGGGACAACCACATTAAGGCAACTATCAGTTAAACACAAATTAAATTAACTCAGAACACCTATGTGAAGAAACACTATAGAGACCAAGAGTCTACACAGACAAGCCTTGCTGGTTTCCCTTTCCCATTAGCAATCATGGCTATACAAGGAGGCCTCCACAAGGGCTGGGAAGGTAGCTCAGTGGTAGAGTACTTGTCTTGCATGCATGAGGCCCTGGGTTCAATTCCTCAGCACCACATAAGCAGAAAAAGCCAGAAGTGGTGCGGTGGCTCAAGTAGTAGAGTGCTAGCCTTGAGCTGAAGAGCTGAGGGACAGCACCTAGGCCCAGAGTTAAAGCCCCACAACCGACAAAAAAAAAAAAAAGGAAGTCTCCATAAAAAACAAAAAAAAGGGGTTTGGGAATATCCAGATAGCTGAATACAAATTTTAAAAGAATGGGATCATTCCTTTTTTTTTTTTCTAGTGCTGTGAATTGGGCCCTCATAAACAATAATCACATACCCTAGCCTCCATAATCCTCCCTCCCTCTCTCTTCACCTCCCTCTTCCCTTTCCCTCATTTGAAAGTCTTTCTATATCACACAGGCTGGCCTCAAACTTCTGAGTCCAAGATACTCTTGCCTTAGGTTCCCAAATAAACAATAGCTTAAGCTTGTAGCTTACAAGTATATACACAAGTATATACCACAAGTATATACCACCTTATCTGGCCACAATTCAATTTATTAAGCTTCCAACTAATAAATATTCATCAAACATAATAAAATGAATAATAAAAACAAAAATCACTTACCTTCATTCTCTACATCATCATTTATGAGTCCCCCCAGCCACATCTTCCAGTCTTCATCATCAGCTGTATTGGGGTCATACATATCTGGTGTAATGTCTGGAGCTTGAAGCTCTGCCTCGAGTTGGCCAAGGGGAACATCTTTCAGGGGCATCTTAGACCGAGTTCGGAATGCAATGAGACTGTCATCCATGGACTAGCCAAAGGAGAAGGAAAAAGAAGCCACTAAGTGAATAATTCTTCAAAATTCTCCATACCATCTCTTCATCCTAGCTTAATCATAAGATCTTTCCTCTAAACAATTTGGGTTTGTTTTGTCTGAAAACTTTTAAGTGAAATCACATCATTTTGAATCTAACATTTCAAAAACATAATTTTATTAAGATATACATATAGAAAGAATAAAATATTGTTTTAAGGATTTATTTTATCATAACAAATTAAAGTAGGGAGAGTTGAGAAAAAAATTTCTGCTTCTTATGCAAGAAATGGTAATTGAAAACTCCAAGATATATACTTTATATACCATAAAATTCACCCTTATGAAGGGTAAAATTGAGTCAATTTTTTCCCCTGTACTGTGACTTGAACTCAGGGCTTCACACGCTCAGCTTTTTCCACTCATACAGCCACATCTCTAGTTGAGCTTTTCTGCAATATGGACTTCCTGTTATCCCAACACTGTCTGCTGAAAAAAATATTCCTTTTCTACTAACTGCTCTTTGCATACCTGTTAAAAATCAACCTATCATAAATGTGTTTATTTTTTATCTTTAAATTCTGTTCCACTGTTCTATGTCTATCCTTATGACAGAAACAGAATTAAGTGATTATTTTTAACTAACTGGGCACCAGTGGCTCAGGCCTGTACTCCTAGCTACTCAGCAGGCTGAGATCTGAAGACAGAGATTCAAAGGTAGCCTGGGCAAGAAAGTCTGGGAAACTCTCTTAAATTCAATTAACCAGCACAGAAGCTGGAAGTGGAGCTATGATTCAAGTGGTAGACCACCAGCTTTAAGCAAAAAGGCTAAAGGATAGTCCTTAGGCCCTTAGTTCAGGCCTCAGGACCAGAACAAATCAAGAAGAAAGAAAATAAAAGAACACTAAGATCACATCTGATCCTAGTCAGAATAACATGTTGGCCAGGATGCAGCAAGAGGGTAAAGGACCCTTCATACACTGCTGGTGGGAATATAAACTCATGCAACCACTACAGAAATCAATAAGGAAGCCCCTCATAAAAAGCAAATATGTAGCTTGGCACTGGTGGCTCACACCTGTAATCCTAGCTACTCAGGAGACTGAGATATGAGGATCATAGTTCAAAGCTAGCCTGGGCAGGAAAGTCTGCGAGACTCTTATATCCAATAAACCACCAGAAAACCAGAAGTGGCGCTGTGACTCAAGTGGCAGAGTGCTCGCCTTGAGATGAAGAGCTAAAGAGCCTTGAGCTCACCTTGAGGAACAGCACCCAGACCCAGAGTTCAAGAGCCATTACCGACAAATCAAAAACAAAAACCTAAATATGTAACTACCTTATGACTCAGCTATACCACTATTGGGCATGTATCTAAAAAAGAGTAAATCAATATACCCTGCATTCCTATGTTTATTAAAGCATTGTTTTGCTTTGTGTTTATTTTTGTTTGTGCCAGTCCTTGAACTCAGGATCTGGATGCTGTCTCTGAGCTGTTTTGCTCAAGGCTAGCCTTCTACCACTTGAGCCACAGCTCCACCTCCAGCTTTTGGTGGTTAATTGGAGGTAAGAGTCTCATGGACTTTCTTGTCCAGGCTGGCTTCCAATCGTGATCCACAGATGTCAGCCTCCTAAGTAGGTAAGATTATAGACGTGAGCTACCAGCACCTAGCTTGTTTCTACTTTTGTGCCAGTACTGAGGCATAAACTCAGGATCTAGAAGCTGCCCCTTAGCCTTTTTGTTCAAGGTTTGATCTCTAGCACTTAAGCCATAGCTCTTGCATTTCTAGCTTTTTGGTAATTACTTGGAGATAAGAGTCTTGGACTTTCCTGTCCAGGCTGGCCTTGAACTTTGATCCTCAGATGTCATTGAGTAGGTAGGATTACAGATTGTGAGACACCAGTGCCCAGCACCCTTATTGTTTTTCAATGGCACTGAGATTTTAATTTGTGCTTGTTAGATAGGTGTTCTTACTACTAAGCCATACTCCAGACTGATTTTTACTCATTATTTTTAAGACAGAGTCTGAATTCCTTGCCTGGAACTGCACCTAAGTGAGATCTACCTTTGTTAGAGTTCCTAGTAGCTAGGATAACAGGTGTATTCCACTATATCCAGCTCTTCATTTTCTTTTTTTCTTTTTTTTTATTTTTTCATTTTTGTCGGTCGTGGGGCTTGAACTCTGGGCCTGGGCGCTGTCCCTCAGCTCTTTAGCTCAAGGCGAGCGCTCTACCACTTGAGCTACAGCGCCACTTCCGGTTTTCTGGTGGTTTATTGGAGATAGGAGTCTCACGGAGTTTCCTGCCCGGGCTGGCTTTGAACCTCGATCCTCAGATCTCAGCCTCCTGAGTAGCTAGGATTACAGGCATGAGCCACCAGCGCCCGGCTTCAGCTCTTCATTTTCAAAAGGGTCTCAACAATTTTTATAAGTGTCTGTGCTAGCACTGGGGCCTGAACTTAGGGCCTCCAACTCTTGCTCAGTTTCTTCCTTCATGGCTGACTCTCTACACTTGAGCCACAACTGCATCTCCAGCTTTTGCTGGTTAATTGGAGATAACAGTCTTGAGGATTTGTCTACCTGGCTGACTCTGAATCTTGACTCTCAGACCTTGGCATCCTGCGTAAATAGGGTAAGAGGTGTAAGAAACTGGTGCCAGGATGAAAACTTTTCCTGCCTGGGCTAGCCCCAAACTGCAATTCCAACAATCTCACATTCGCTCTTTATAGCTAGGATTACAGGCATGAGTCATGTAAATGATTTTTTTTTAAGTGTTGAAAGAGTTGTGATAAAAGGTTATTAACTGGAGAATATAGGTGAAAGTTGTTCCTATGTTCTACATTATAAAATATTATCACACAGTTTATTCTTCCCTTAGAAACTGCTATTGTCACTTAAGATAGTACAAGCCAAATAGTATCAAAGACAAAAATAATAAGAAATTAATATTCTCTCTTCTCAACATGAGTAACTAAAATATCATATTTTATTTTCTCAACAACATTTTTTTGTCAGTCATGGGGTTTAAACTCAAGGTCTGAGTTGTCCCTGAGCTCATTTGCTTAAAGCTAGCACTCAACCACTTTGAGCCATAGCACCTCTTTCAGTTTTTTGAGTGGTTAGTTGGAAATAAGAGTTTGCCTAGGCTGGTTTTAAACCATTATCCTCAGATATCAGCCTCCTGAATAGCTAGAATTACAGTTAACCATTGGTGACCAGCTTATTTTCTCAGGAATTTAAAGTTACGGCACTTACCTGAAAAGAATCCATGCAGACAGGACTGGAAGCCAGTTCCTCATCTACTGCATGTAACTTCTCCATGAAAGTACTATCCTTGGTCTGTTTGGGCTTTGGAGGGGGTGGGGGTCCCATGGGCACAACCTCAGCACTAATGTGCCTGATGGCAGGTGTGGTGATTTTCTCAGCCTGATTAAAAGAGGCAACTGTGTTAAGAAAGGGAAGAAGGGAGGAGACAGAGGGGTCTTCTACCCACTGACTTTTTTCTTCATAACTAGGGATATATACAAAGCATTGTCAAGCATATAGATTTAACCAGGTTTTACCCCTTTCTTTTTTTTTTTTTTCCGGTCCGGTCGTGGGGCCTGAACTCTGGGCCTGGGCACTGTCCCTCAGCTCTTCAACTCAAGGCTAGCACTCTACCACTTGAGCCACAGCACCACTTCCAGCTTTTTTTTCTGCTTATGTGGTGCTGAGGAATCGAACCCAGGGCCTCATGCATGCAAGGCAAGCACTCTACCACTGAGCCAACTTCCCAGCCCTTACCCCTTCCTTAGTGAAGCCAACACAGTGCTTCTTAGGATACCAAAAGAGGAGAAAATCTATTTTTTAAAAAAAAGCTTTAAAAATAATATTAGATGGAGATGGAAGGGCAAGGAGAGGAGGGGAAAAACAAAGGAGGAGGCAACAATGCTTGATAAGAAATGTACTTATTGGGGCTTGGAAGGTAGCTCAGCGGTAGAGTGCATGCCTTGCAAGCATGAGGCCCTGGGTTCGATTCCTCAGCACCACATAAACAGAAAAAGCCGGAAGTGGTGCTGTGGCTCTAGTGGTAGAGCACTAGCCTTGAGCTAAAGAGCTGAGGAACAACACCCAGGCCCAGAGTTCAGGCCCCATGACTGGCAAAAAACAAAAAACAAAAAAAGAAATGTACTTATTACCTTGCTGATGTAATTGTAACCCCTCTGTATGGTATTTTCACAAAAAAAAACTTATTAAAAAAATAATAATATTAGAAGGGCTGGGAAGGTGGCTCAGTGGTAGAGTGTTTGCCTCTCATGCATGAGGCCCTGGTTTGATTCCTCAGCACCACATAAACAGAAAAAGCCCGAAGTGGCGCTGTGGCTCAAGTGGTAGAGTGCTAACCTTGAGCTAAAGAGCTCAGGGACAGCACCCAGGCCCAGAGTTCAAGCCCCACAACCACCACCAACAACAACAAAATAATAATGATGATGATGATGATGATGATGATGATGATAATGATCATAGAAAACATAGGTATGAGACAAAAGAATAGAATAATAGAAATTCTGCTACTTGTCCATTTTTGGTCCTGACAACTTGGAAAAGCTCTTATCACTAGGTTCCAATCTTTTCTGAACTGTTCATTCAATAAAGGGACTTTGGAAGAAGACAGCCAGAACCATCACAAATAATAAATCATCTAGTGATATGGTCAAACAATCTTCTTATTCAGTTATATCAACTGCACAATGCTAGTTACCTCTGATGACAGGCCACTCTCCTCATCTGTTTCAGTCATCTCAGAAGACTGTTTCAATTTAGATTTTTTTGCACCACGAGGAGATGAAGCGGTGCTTTCAACATCACTTTCCAATAAGCTCTGGAAAATAAATCCAGACCACTTTTATATATAACTCCATACTTCAATCCACAATATGTATTATCTCAAGAAAATAAGTCACAAGACATCTAGTACTCGATTAGTGTTTTCAGAAACGATAAACCAAAATTTAAGTGGTTTGATACACTAAAGGGGGGATGTTGGTAAAGGTCATATCACTATCCTTATTGTCCTTACCTGTTTAACATAAGGCGTTGGGCTAAAATGCTTTCACAACCAAGTCAAAGAACACAAGTCAGTGAAGGCTGATAGGATGCATTGTATACATAGTGAAAATGTCATAATAAGCCATCCTTGTACAACTAATTAATGCTAATTTAAAAAACGAATACTGCCAGGCACTGGTGGCTGACGCCTGTAATCCTTGCTTCTCAGGAGGCTGAGATCTGAGGATCATGGTTCAAAACTAGCCCAGGAAGGAAAGTCAGTGAGACTCTTATTTCCAATTAACCACCAGAAAACCGGAAGTGGTGCTGTGGCTCATGTGGTAGAAGGCTAGTCTTGAAGTGAAGAGCTGAGGGACAGCACCCACACCTAGAGTTCAAGCCCCATGACTGACAAAATAGTAAAGAATAAGAAAAAGTCAGAAATACATTACAGAGAAAAAATAAACAGATAAATAAATAGATCAGAAGCCAGGTACCAGTGGATTGTGCTTGTAACCTTAGCTACTCAGGAAGCTGAGAGCCAGAGAGAACTGTAGTTCAAAGATAGCCACTGCAAAAATAAATAAATAAAATAAAATAAAATAGCTAGCCAGGCGCTGGTGGTTCATGCCTGTAATCTTAGCTACTCAGGAGGCTGAGATCTGAGAATAATGGCTCAAAGCCAGCCCGGGCAAGAAACTCCATGAAACTCTTATCTCCAATAAACCATTCAGGAAACTGGAAGTGGTGCTGTGGCTAAAGAGGTAGAGCGCTAGCCTTGAACTGAAGAGCTGAGGGACAGCACCCAGGCCCAGAGTTCAAGCCCCACGACCAACCAAAAAATAAAAATAAGAAGACAGCCACTGCAGTAAAGTCCATAATTCAGGAGGCTGAGATCTGAGGACTGCAGTTGAAAGCCAGCCCAGGCAGGAAAGTCAGTAACACACTTATCTCCAATTCACCACCAGAAAACCAGAAGTGGTGCTGTGGCTCAAGTGGTAGATCACTAGCCTTGGGCTGAAGAGGTCAGGGTCAGTGCCCAGACCCAGGGTTCATGCCCCATGACCGACAAAAAAATAAAGAAAGAAAAACCCATGGAAGTCCATGTCTAGCAAAAAGCCAGGTTTGAGGTGTGGGTTTAACTGGTAGAGTGCCAACAGAGCAAGAAACTTAGCAAGTATTAGGCCCTAAGTTCCAACCCTAGTAGAAGGAAGAGGGAAAAAAAAGGAAAGAGAGAGAAAGGAAGGAAGAAAGGAAGGAACAAAGGAAGGAAGGAAGGAAGGAAGGAACGAAGGAAGGAAGGAAGGAAGGAAGGAAGGAAGGAAGGAAGGAAGGAAGGAAGGAAGGAAGGAAGGAAGGAAGAAAGAAAGGAAGAAGGAAGGAAAGGAAAGGAAAGAAAGGAAGGAGGAGGAGGAAGAAGGAAGGAGGGAAGGAGGGAAGGAAGGGAGGGAGGGAGGGAGGGAGGGAGGAAAACAAAGAGAGGAGGAAGGAGGGAGGGAGAGGGAGAGGAAGGGAAGAAGGGAAGAAGGGAAGGGAGAAAGAGAAAAGAAGGGAAAGACATCAAATAAAATATTAATATACAACAGGGCAAAAAAAGGAGAGTGAACAAACACAGTCATGGTACACACTATACACTATGTGGAAAATGAACTATGCAACTTGTGGGCAGGGACAGGAGATACTGGAGAAAAGTAAAGGAATGTACTCATCACCTGATGTATGAAACAGTAGCCCCTGTACCTTTTTTTTTTTTTGGTTGGTTGTGGGGCTTGAACTCTGGGCCTAGGCACTGTCCCTCAGCTCTTCGCTCAAGACAAGCACTCTACCACTTGAGCCACATTGCCACATCAGGTTTTCTGGTAGTTTATTGGAAATAAGAGTCTCACAAACTTTCCTACTTGGGCTGGCTTTGAACCTCGATCCTCAGATCTCAGCCTCCTGAGTAGCTAGGATTACAGGCATGAGCCACCAGCGCCTGGCCTATACAATATATCAATAACAATAAAAATTATATTTAAGCCGGGCACCAGTGGCTCTTGCCTGTAATTCTAGCTAATCAGGAGGCTGAGATCTGAGGATCATGGTTCAAAGCCAGCCTGGGCAGGAAACTGTGAGACTCTTATCTCCAATAAACCACTAGAAAACCGGAAGTAGTGCTGGGCTCAAGTGGTAGAGTGCTCACCTTGAGCTGAAGAGTGCAGGGAAAGCGCCCAGGTCCAGAGTTCAAGCCCCACAACCGACAAAAAATAATATATTTTTTTTAAAAAAGAAAATATTAATACAGTGATAAAAATGAACTAACAGCTGAGTTCCTGTGGCTTACACCTGCAATTCTAGCTTGTTGAAAAGATGGGATTAGCAGAGAATCCAAAGAAAAAGGGTGAAAAAGTAGAGCAGTGGAGCACACTGGATATTGATGGAAATGAACGATACAACTCATGGGAGGTACAAGGGAGGGAATGAGAGAAGATGAGGGAACAGATGACTGTACGATAGGAAATGCACTTATTGCCTGATGCATGTAAATGCAAGCCCTCTGTATATCACATCTATAACAATAAAGTAAATCAATTTAAAAAATTAAAAATTAACTAGATTAAAAAAAAAAAAGAAAGAAGAGGTTAGGAGGATTGTAGTTCAAGGCCAGCCTGAGGTCCTTCTCCATCAATAGCTGAGTCCAGTAATATATACCTGGCATCCTCAAATACATAAGAGGCTCAGATCAGGAGGATCAAAGTTCTAGGTCAGCTCAAGCAGAAAGGTCTGCAAGATTTCATCTCAAAGGAAGTTGGGTGTGTTAGCACCTGCTGTCAGCCCAGCTACAGCAGGAAATAAAAAATTAAACATGGGCTGGGAAGGTGGCTCAATGGTAAAGTGCTTGCCTTGCATGCATGAGGCCCTGGGTTCGATTCCTCAGCACCACAGAAGCAAAAAGAAAAAAGCCGGAAGTGGCACTGTGGCTCGAGTGGTAGAGTGCTAGCCTTGAGCTGAAGAGCTGAGGGACAGCGCCCAGGTCCAGAGTTCAGGCCCACGACTGGACCAAAAAAAAAAAAAAAAAAGTTCTAGGTCAGCTCAAGCAGAAAAGTCTACAAAATTTCATCTCAAAGGAAGATGGTTGTTAGCACCTGCCATCAGCCCAGCTACAGCAGGAAATAAAAAATTAAACATGGGCTGGGAAGGTGGCTCAGTGATAAAGTGCTTGCCTTGCATGCATGAGGCCCTGGGTTCGATTCCTCAGCACCACATAAGCAGAAAAAACCAGAAGTGGAGCTGTGAGTCAAGTGGTAGAGCGCTAGCCTTGAGCTGAAAAGCTGAGGGACAGCGCCCAGGCCCAGAGTTCAAGCCCCACGACCAAAAAAAAAAATTAAACATCACAGTCTAGGCATGACTCAGAGCAGGAATCAAGATTCTGTTCCCAAAATAAACAGTGCTGCCAGGCGCCAGTGGCTCACACCTGTAATCATAGCTACTCAGGAGGCTGAGATCTGAGGATCACAATTCAAAGCCAGCCTGGGCAGGAAAGTCTGTGAGACTCTTATCTCCAATAAACTACCAGAAAACCAGAAGTGGCACTATGGTTCAAGTGGTAGAGCGCTCCACTTGAGCTGAAGAGCTCAGAGACAGCGTCCAGGCCCAGAGTTCAATCTCCACGACCAACAAAATAAAAATAAAAATAATAAACAAACATTGCACTGGGAGAGACTGAGAGAACAGAAGATATTTTATGAAAGGAAATGGACTTATCTATCTGACTCTTGTAATTGTAATCCCTCTGTATATCATCTTTATAACAATAAAGTAAATAAAACATAAAAAATAAGCAGTGCAATAAAGGGGTAGAGGCATGGTTCAGCAGTAGAGCATTGGCCTTAGCAAGCCCAAGGACCTGAGTTCAATCAAACCCTAGTACTGACAAAACAAACAAAAACAAAACTATGGATATAGGGAATGATATCCATGAATCTCAAAAGCACATTGTTAAACAAAAACAACAACAAGCAGAAAGAAAAGAACATATGCATGTATGGGTGCATTTAGGTTTCATCAACAATAAATACTATATTATACAGAAATACATATATAAGTGATTTAACTATAAAGAAAATTAGTAGTTTTCAGTCAGGCTAATGATTGTTGTCAGGGAGAAGGAGGTGACACTGACTGGGAAGAGCATACTAAGGTTGTCCAGGCAATGTTATATTTCTTGACTTTGGAAGAAGTCAAGAGGACTCACACAGCAATTATTTAAATTATGAGTTTTATTTTTTACCCATTTTTGTGTTTATAGGTATGCTACATTTCATGAAAAAGTGTTAAAAATTAAGCATGAAAAACAGAAATATCTCAGCAAAAAAATAGAAAACAGAGCTACATCTCAATCACATCTACAGAATAGGAGATAACACTAAGGAAGCAAAGTATACCCAGTCTAATGAAGTCAATTTTTTCTTCTGTACTAAGGAACACCCACTGACCTCTTCAGCAGTCTCATCTTCATCTTCTTCATCTGGCTGGTACTCTTCATCTGAAGAATCATCTTCTTCAAGGTGGATGTCCACAAACTGCGGAGGCTGCATTAATACAATGAGAAAAAAATGAGATGTAGAATGCATGTCCACCATGCACAAGGGCTAGGGTTCCAATGATAGCATAGAAAGAGGGAAAGAAGCCGGGTGCCGGTAGCTCACACCTGTAATCCTAGCTACTCAGGAGGCTGAGATCTGAGGATCTTGGTTCAAAGCCAGCCCCGGCAGGAAAGTCCGTGAGATTCTTATCTCCAATAAACCACTAGAAAACCAGAAGTGGCACTGTGGCTCAAGGGGTAGAGCGCTCGCCTTGAGGTGAAGAGCACAGAGACAACATCCAAGCCCAGAGTTCAAGCCCCACAACAAAGAAAGAAACAAGAAAGGAAGGAAGGAAAGAAAGAGAGTCATCCTAGTTACTTAGGAAGCTGAGACCTGGAAGATCTCTGTTTGAAGCCAGCCCAGCAAGACTCCATCTCCATTAACCAGCAAAAAGTTGGACTGAAAGTTTAACTCAAGTGGTAGAGCACTAGCCATAAGTAAGAAAACTGCATGAAAGTAGGGAAGCCCTAAGTTAAAGCCCCAGTATCAGCAGAATGGAAGAAGAGAAGGAAGGGAGGGAAAGGATTAAGGGATGGAGGGAGAAAGAAAAGGAAAGAAGGGAACAATAAAAAGCACAAAACGTATGTATCTGGAAAATAAGGGAAAGAAAGCTGGGGAAAAAATTCTAAGAAAATTAAATTAGAAAAAAATTCTAAGGGCTGGGAAGGTGGCTCAGTGGTAGAGCACTTGCCTTGCATGCCTGAGGCCCTGGGTTCGATTCCTCAGCACCCACGTAAGAAAAAAGAAAAAAGCCGGAAGTGGTGCTGTGGCTCAAGTGGTAGAACGCTAGCCTTGAGCTGAAGAGCTGAAGGACAGCGCCCAGGCCCAGAGTTCAGGCCCCACAATGGGACCCAAAAAAAAAAATTCTAAGTTAAAGCAAACAGGAAGCTAGAGTTAGTGGTTCTATTACATGCAAACCTAAGAATAGAATGGAAAAAAATCAAAGCTGGAATGAAAACAAGAAGACACACCTAAAAAGTTACAACTAGAAAGTTCATACACTTTAAAACTGATGAAATCTCGCCAGGTGTCACTGGCTCAAACCTGCAATCCTAGCTACTCAGGGGACTGAGAAGCTGAGGATCATGGTTCAAAGCCAGCCCAGACAGGAAAGTCCATGAGATTCTTATCTCCAATAAACCACCAGAAAACTGGAAGTGGCACTGTGGCTCAAGTGGTAGAGCACGAGTCTTGAGCAAAAAAACTCAGATTCAGTGCCCAGACCCTGAATTCAAGCCCCAAGACCGGTATGAAAACAATAAAAAACTGGTAAAGTCTTTCTGGAAACCAGGGATAATGACCTCTTCCAAGTTTACCTTAATTTCATTGGCCTTCTTAATTGGTGAAATATTCCAGGTTGGAATAACCTACAAAATAAATAAATAAACAAATAAATAAATAAATAACAGAAAATGATAGTGTTTCATTTTTACTTCCTCTTTCCCCCCAGAAAGAGCCATTTACCAATAGCTAAAACTGATCTACAAGTGTTGATTATCCTTGAGGGTATACTATCAAACATTTGTCAACACTTATTAGAAAAAAAAGGGGGGGAGGGCATCTAGGACATTAGCATTTAGGCATTAAGCCTAGTAAGATTCACTTGTATCTAAAATATGTGAAAAAATATCTGCTTTGCCTATTTTTATATTATACTTTGGTTTATGGAATAATGGATAAGAAAACGATTTATAAATTATTTAAAACTACACATCTAAGCACCAGTAGCTGACATCTATAAGTCCTAGCGACTCAGGAGGCTGAGATCTGAGATTCACAGTTGGACAGACAAATCCAAGAGATTCTTATCTCCAAATAAACAGCAAAAAGACACGAGAGTCATGATCAAGTGATAAAAGTACCACCCAGGAGTGAAAAAGCCGAGCAAGAATATAAGGCTTAGAGTTCAAGCTCTGATACCCACCCACCCACCCACCCCAAAAAGGCTACACAGCCAGATGGCAGGGGCTCACACCTATAATTCTAGCTACTAAGGAGGCTTATCTTCTGTAAACCACCAGAAAACCAGAAGTGGCTCTGTGGCTCAAGTGATAAAGTGCTGGACTTGAAGAACTTAGGGATAGCACCCAGGCCCAGAGTTCAAGCCCCATGATTAACCAAAAACAAAAAGGGCTGGGAAGGTGGCTCAGTGGTAGAGTGCTTGCCTTGTATACATGAGGCTCTGGATTCGATTCCTCAGCACCACATAAGTAGAAAAAGCCGGAAGTGGCACTGTGGCTCAAGTGGTAGAGTGCTAGCCTTAAGCTGAAGAGCTGAGGGACAGAGTTCCCAGGGTTCAGGCCCCACAACCAACAAACAACAAAAAAGACCACACAAACCTAAGGTGATACATGTCACAGAAATCTTTTGGGCATGGAGCCAGTAGCTCATGCCTATAGTTCTAGCTACTCAAGAGGCTGAGATCTAGAGGATCATGATTCAAAGCCAGGCTAGGACAGCAAAGTCCCTGAGATTCAATCTCCAAAATAACTAGCATAAAGCCAGGTTGGAGGTATAGCTCAAGTGGTAGAACACCAGTCAAGCAAAAGTAAGGTTCTGAGTTCAAACCTTAATACTGCAAAAATAAAAAATGAAAGTAAAATAAACTTTTGGAATCAGGTTTTGGTTTTCTTTTCGAGACAGAGTCATATTACATAGCCCAGGCTAACCTGGAATCTGATATGTAACTCAGGTTGACTAGGAATTTACTATTGGCCCAGGCTGGCTTCAAACTCTCAAACCAATTCAGCCTCCAGACTCCTGGGATTATATGTGTGTGGAAGCACATGTTGCATGGACATGGTGGCTCACGTCAGTTATCCTAGCTAGGTAGGAGTCGGATTGAAAGGACTGCAGGTTGAGGTGTCACCTCAAACAAAGTTTGTGAGATCTAATTTCAAACATGCGCTGTGGTGGCACATGCCTGTCATCCCAGCTACACAAAGAATGTAAGCAGGAAGATTTGGGTCCAGGCAGGACTAGGTATAAATATGAGATCTTTCTTTTATTTTTTGGGTCCGGTCGTGGGGCTGAACTCTGGGCCTGAGCGCTGTTCTTCAGCTCTTCAGCTCAAGGCTAGTGCTCTACCACTTGAGCCACAGTGCCACTTCTGGCTTTTTTCTTTTTGCTTATGTGGTGCTGAGGAATCGAACCCAGGGCCTCATGCATACAAGGCAAGCGCTCTACCACTGAACCACCTTCTCAGCCCCAAATATGAAATCTATCTAAAAAAATAAAAATAAAAGCAAAAAGAGCTCAGGGTATAGCTCAAGTGGCAGAGTGCTGCCTAGCAAGTTCAAGGTCCTGAGTCCAAACCCTAATACTACTATTTTCTAAAAAGTAAGCACAAATTGGACAAGTGTATACAGCATAGTACTAGATATACCAAAAAGCCTTCAAGTCATTCATATGCTTCAGTAATTAAAAGAACAAACTATGGTATTTACAACAGTGCATATTCCCAGGTCCTGATTGTGGGTTTGGATTCCTAGGTCTCTGGTAGGCCCAAAAGTATGCCCTTTTAATAAGTACTATAAACACACCATACCAAGGCAATTTTGATACAAATAGTCTCTGGAACACTTTGAAAAATACAACTTTAAACACTTCCACATGTTACAACATGAATTAAAAAATGTCCTAGTTCATTTGGGTTTTTTTGTTTGTTTGTTCTTTTTGTTGGTCATGGGGCCTGAACTCTGGGCCTGGGCGCTGTCCCTCAGCTCTTCAGCTCAAGGCTAGACCACTTGAGCCACAGCGCCACGTCCTGCTTTTTCTGCTTCTGTGGTGCTGAGGAATCGAACCCAGGGCCTCATGAATGCAAGGCAAGCCTTACCTACCCAGCCCCCATAGTTCATTGTTTACAAATGGCTATCTTATCTAGAAAATTCAAAAAGCAACATGTTCATATCAACTAAAGCAATTTCATATACTATTTCTCCTTTGTCTTTACAAAAATTTTTTTCTTTTGAGACAGGATCTTCTTATAAAGCCCAGGTGTCCTTAAACCTTCAATCCTCCTGAATTCTAGCATTATAGGTACGTACCATCACTCTGTAGTACTAGACAGGGATCAACAGCAACATCTCACGTATGATAGGCATGTATTCTACCAATGAGCTACACTTTCAGCCCAGAAATATTTTTTTTCTTTTTTGGTCAATCGTAGGGCTTGAACTCTGGGCCTGGTCACTGTCCTTCAGCTCTTCAGCTCAAGGCTAGGGCTCTACCACTTGAACCACAGTGCTACCTCCGGGTTCTGATGTTTATTGGAGAGAAGAGTCTCATAGACTTTTCTGCCTGGGCTGGCTTTGAACTGTGATCCTCAGATCTCAGCACCTAAGTAGCTTGGATTACAAGCATGAGCCACTGGTGCCTGGCAGAAATAATTCTTTGAGAGGCAAACACAGGCCAAAACTTTTCCTATGGTTTCTCTATGAATACTAGATCCTATTTACCAAGCTTAACAAAGAAGAACACAGAATATTTACCACTCCTTTCTCCACCACTTCCTTCAGTTTAGAGCGTGTCATTTTAGGCTCCTAAGGAGGAAAAAATAGAAAGAAAATAGTAAAAATCACAATGTCATTCTTGAGATTTGAAATGCTAACTTTTCCCCAGCTGCCAAACTGTTCATCAATTCTCAAGTGACCTTTTGTGCTTGGTTTACAGAACTCCACAACACTGAAAAAGTGACAATTACTCACAAACATTGGCATGTCTTCTGTCTCACTGATGGCTGCTTTCATCATCGCTACCACATGCTCATTTGTGATTACTTCCTGGAGAAAGATGAAATTTCACTTTATGCCAAAAGATTTCTCATCTAGACAATACTCATATCTACATTAACTCTAATGTTAAACCTATGTAGATAAAAAATGAAAGCTAGTCTCTCAAATAGCTTCAAATTGGAGTAAAGAAAAATAACTAAACACAAAGGAGGCAAAGCAAGTTTTAGAGAGACCACACAGTATGGAACAATGTAGCAGAAAATGCACTCATCTTATTAGCTGTTCCTAGAAACAGGAATAAATATAACTAGCCTGGTGCCAGTGGCTCACACCTATAATCCTTGCTACTCAGAAGGCTGAAATCTGAAGATCAAGGTTGAAAGCCAGCCCAAGCAGAAAAAATGAGGCCAAAAAAATCAGCCAAAGCAAGAAATGGAGGTATGGCTCAAGGAGTCTAGAGCCACAAAAAAAGCTGAGCCAAAGTTCAAGATGCTGAGTTCAAGCTTTTGTACCAGCACAGAAAAGAAAGAAAAAAAATAATATACTTAAGAGAAAGACTAACAACCAGCAAACGCTTTGTAAGTAGCTGTATAGCTATATATTAAGAACATTATGGATGAGTGCCAGTGGCTCACGCTTGTAATCCTAGCTACTCAGGAAGCTGAGATCTAAGGACTGTGGTTCAAAGCCAGCCTGGGAAGAAAAGCCCCTGTGAAGCTCTTTTCTCCAATTAACAACTCAAAAACCAGAAGTGAAGCTGTGGCTCAAAGTGGTAGAGCATTAGCCTTGAGTAAAAGAGCTCAAGGACAGCCCCCAGGTCCTGAGTTTAAGCCCCAAAGGCACCAAAAAAATAAAAGTAAAAAAAGAACATGTTCATATATGTGCAAAGTACTATAAACTATTCCCTGGGCTTTTCAGATAAATCATTCCAGAAGTGTAAATCCACTAAGAACATTATCATCTTCAAATCTGCTAAATACAGTAAATAATCAAATAAGCAATGGAAGTACAGGTAGTTTACACAATTTTCTTCTTTAGTATGTGTTGATTACAAATTTATTCCTAGTGGAAAGGGAAAACTTTTATGAGAAGTAAAATGTTTTTCATGGGTAACCTACAATATTGAAAATTAATAATTGATATACTATAGAGTCAAGAATTTTCTAAGTACTTCATTTTGATGGAAGATTCCATTCCGTTCCAACTTGACAAGCTGCCCAGGCTTACTCACATGCAGGATGTTTCGCACATTGACTGCTGTCAGGTTGTGCTGCTTGGCACCATCTTCTAAGGTCCGGTCAAGCATGTCATCCAGTTTCAGGTCATATGCCATGGTCCCTTGTTCTTGACTCCTTCCATCTCGTTTCCTCTTGGTACCCTTTTTCATTCTTCTTCTTTTCTCACTTTCTTTGCTGTCTTGCTCTTCTGCAAATAAATCAAGAGCATCACCAGAATCTATCTACATAAGGGCTACACTAGGAACTTAGCCAAAAAGAAAATCAATTTACCAACTGTCTGGCACTGAAAAACAGTGATGGTGGGTTATGACAATGGAGTTGGTAATGATACTGTAGCAGTAATGACTACCATCCACTGAATTTTTAATTTATGTCAGCCATGCATTCACATACTTTATAGATCTTAATTCCCCTATTTTTATAAGTAATCACTCTGCTTGGTAGAGACTATTGTTTTCTTCACCATACTGATGAGAAAACTGAACCAGAGATTAAGAAAAGCTCCCAAGTGGCCAGGTGCTGCTGGTAGCTCATGCCTATAATCCTAGCTACTCAGGAGGCTGAAATATGAGGATCTCAGTTCAAAGTCAGCCTGGGTAGAAAAGTCCATGGGAATCTTATCTCCAATTAACCACCAAAAAGCCGGAAGTAGGGCTGGAAATGTGGCTGAGTGGTAGAGTGTTTGCCTCTCATGCATAAAGCCCTGGGTGTGATTCCTTAATACCACATAAACAGAAAAAGCCAGAAGTGGGGCTGTGGCTCAAGTGATACAGTGCTAGCCTTGGGCAAAAAGAAGTCCAGGGACAGTGCCCAGAGTTCAAACCCCAGGACTGGCAAAAAAAAACAACAAAAAGCTGAAAGTGGAGTTGTGACTTAAGTGGTAGAGCTCCAGCCTTGAGCAAATAAGCTAACTCTGGCCCTGAGTTCAAGCACAAGTACCAGTGCTGGTGGCTCATGCCTATAATCACACTACTCAGGAGGCTGAGATCTGAGGATCATGGTTCAAAGCCAGCCCAGGCAAGAAAGTCCATGAGACTCTTATCTCCAATTAAACACCAGAAGACCAGAAGTGGTGCTGTGGCTTACATGATAGAGCACTCCATATAAACTGAAGAGCTAGCCGGGAGCTGGTGGCTCACGCCTGTAATCCTAGCTACTCAGGAGGCTGAGATCTGAGCATCGCGGTTCAAAGCCAGCTCGGGCAAGAAAGACCGTGAGACTCCTATCTCCAATAAACCACCAGAAAACCAGAAGTGGCGCTGTAGCTCAAGTGGTAGAGCGCTCGCCTTGAGCTGAAGAGCTGAGGGACAGCACCCAGGCCCAGAGTTCAAGCCCCACGACCGACAAAAAAAATAAAATAAACTGAAGAGCTGAGGGACAGTGTCCAGGCCCAGAGTTTAAGCCCCACAACTGAGAATAATTAATTTTTTAAAAAATTATATATATATATGTCAGCCATGGGGCTTGAACTCTGGGCCTGGGCACTCTTCTTGAGCTCTTGAGCTCAAGGCAAGTCTCTACCACTTGAGCCACAGAGCCACTTCCAATTTTCTGGTGGTTAATTGGAGATAAGAGTCCTACAGATGGGGCTGGGAAGGTGGCTCAGTGGTAGAGCGCTTGCCTTGCATGCCTGAGGCCCTGGGTTCGATTCCTCAGCACCACATAAGCAAAAAGAAAAAAGCCGGAAGTGGCGCTGTGGCTCAAGTGGTAGAGCGCTAGCCTTGAGCTGAAGAGCTGAGAGACAGCGCCCAGGCCCAGAGTTCAGGCCCCACGACCAGACCCAAAAAAAAAAAAAAGAGTCCTACAGATGTTCCTGTCTGGGCTGGCTTTGAACCACAATCCTCAGATCTCAGCCTCCTTTGTAATTAGGATTACAAGAATGAGCCACCAGCACCTGGCACTTCTTTCTTTTTTGGACATGGGTAAGTCCTTTAACTTGAGCTCCAGCCCGAGTCTATTTTGCTCTAATTATTTTTCAGGCATTATTGCTTTAGGCAGGTCCTGGGTTTTAATGTACTCTATAGCTGGAAACACAAATGCAAGCTTCCTGTACAAAGTCTTTCTGTATGTGTGTGCTTGTCTTAAGGCTTGAACTGGGCTCGGTCTCTGTGCTTTTCTGCCCAAGGCTAGAGCTCTTCCACTTAAGCCACAGCTCCACTGCCAGCTTTTTTGGTGTTTAACTGGAGATAAGAGTCTCACACCCTGGGGCTGGGGGTTTAGCCCAGCAGAAGGGCGCCCACGCAGCAAGGCCCTGGGTTCGGTCCTCAGCCCTGGAAGAAAAAAAAAAAGAGTCTCACTTTGCTGTCTGAGATAGCTTCAAACTCTAATAAAAGCAAGGCATCTCAATTCCAGCTACTTGGGAAGTAGACATACAGAGAGTCCCAGTTTGAAAACAGTCCAGACAAAAAAAGCTAGCAAGACACCACCTCTACTAAAACAAAACAAAACAAAAAAAGTGGGTAAAGTGACACACCTGTAACCTATTACCATAGCTATGCTGGAGGCGAACAGTAGGACAGCAATCCGGATGGCACAGATACTACCTGAAAAAAAATAACTAAAGCAAAAATGGCTAGATGAGTAGCTCAAATGGCACCTGTTTAGCAAACATGAAACCCTGAATTCAAACCCCAGTACTGAAATAAATGTGGGGTGGGGAGAAGGGTTGTAGCACAAACCTATAGTCTCACACCTTTTGAGTCTAAGTGTTCAAGACCAACCTGGAAAAAACACAGTGAGACACCATCTCAAAAAACAAAAATAGCCAGGTGCCGGTGGCTCACCCCTGTAATCCTAGCTACTCAGGAGGCTGAGATCGTCGGATCACTGTTCAAAGCCAGCCTGGGCAAGAAAGTCGATGAGACTCTTATCTCAAACTAACCACTAGAAAACCTGAAGTGGAGCTATGGCTCAAATGATGGAACGCTGTCTAGAGCTGAAGAGCTCAGGGATAGCGCCCAGGCCCAGAAAGTCCATGAGACACAACTCCAATTAAGTACCAAAAAAGTTGTAAGTGGAGATGTGGTTCAAGTGGTAGAGCACTAGCCTTGAGGAAAAAAAATTTAGAAGCTTACAGACAGTTCCCAGGCCTTCAGTTCAAGCTCCAGGATCAGTACAAAAATAATAATAGGGGCTGGGAAGGCTTGCCTTGCATGCCTGAGGCCCTGGGTTCGATTCCTCAGCACCACATAAGCAAAAAAAAAAAAAGCCGGAAGTGGCGCTGTGGCTCAAGTGGTAGAGCGCTAGCCTTGAGCTGAAGAGCTGAGGGACAGCACCCAGGCCCAGAGTTCAGGCCCTACTACCGGATCTCCCCCCCACCCTCCCCCCCAAAAATAATAATAAACGAAAAAGATAGCTGGGTGTAATGACATACATACAACTTCTGTAGTCCAAAATCCTCAGGAGGGTCAGGCGGAAGATTACTTAAAGTCCTGAAGATTGAAACTAGCCTGAACAACACAGTGAGACTGTTTCAAGGGACTACACAGATCATGTAAAACTAAAGGCTGACAGTATAAACTGAGTGGTAAGGTGCATGTTTGGCATGCAAGAAGCCTTGGAGTCAATTTCCAGCGCCAAAAATAAATACACAAAACTATACAACTTCTAGAAGAAAACAGAAAAAAGAAACATGATCTTGGGTAAAGTAATATACTGTCAAAACCTTTAAAACTTTTTTTTTGGGGGGGGGGGGGGTCAGTGGTAGGGCTTGAACTCTGGGCCTGGGCACTGTCCCTCTCAGCTCTTCAGCTCAAGTCAAGTACTCTACCACTTGAGCCACAGCGCCACTCTTGGTTTTCTGGTGGTTTATTGGAGATAAGTCTCACAGGCTTTCCTGCCCAGGCTGGCTTTGAACCTTGATCCTCAGATCTCAGTCTCCTAAGTAGGTAGGATGACAGACATGAGCCACTGGCGCCCTGCTTTAATTTTTAAAAAAAAATTTAATAAAAATTAAAAAAAGAAAAGCCAGGCACTAGTGGCTCATGCCTGTCATCCTAGCTACTCAGGAGACTGAGATCTCAGGACTGAAGTTCAAAGCCAGCTGGGGCAGGAAAGTCTGTGATACTCTTACCTCCAATTAATCACCAGAAAATTGGAAGTGGGCTTGGCTCAAAGTAGTAAAGCACTAGCCTTGAACTGAAGGGCTGAGGGACAACGCCTGGGCCCAGAATTCAAGCCCCACAAATGACAAATGAGTAAGAAAGGAAAGAAAGAAAGAAATATAAATGAGATTAGTAATTACAACTGGCTGAGAAAAGGGAAAAATAAAGTGGAATTAAAGAATGTTTAGTATGTAGATATACTACATATCTGGCTGTGGTAGTTGCTAACATAACTATGTATGATTTCTCAAACTCATTACGTAATTTTTTGGTTTTGGTGCCAAAACCAAAATTGGAGCTTAAATTCAGGCTCTCACATTCTCAACTGGCTTTTTCACTCAAGGCTGGTGCTCTCTCACTTGAGCCACAGCCCTACTTCCAACTGTTAACTGGAAAGAACTGATCAGCAACTGATTTAAAAAAGAGAAAACAGATAAGGGATAGGAAGAGGAGAAAAGATACTTGCCACACTTAAAGAATAATTCAAGGACTGAGAAGGTAGCTCAGTGGTAGAGTGCTTGCCTTGCATGCATGAGGCCCCGGGTTCGATTCCTCAGCATCACATAAGCAGAAAAAGCCAAAAGTGGCGCTAACTAAAATGGTAAAGAACTAGCCTTGAGCTAAAGAGCTGAGGGACAACACTCAGGCCCAGAGTTCAGGCCCCACGACTGACAAAAAAAAAAAAAAAAAGAATAATTCAAGCTGGCTATCAGTGGCTAACATCTGTAATCATAATTATTCAGGACACTGAGACCTGAGATTTGCAGTTCAAAGCAAGCCCTGACAGGAGAGTCCAAAAGACTCTTATCTCCAATTACCTATCAAAAAGTCAGAGAGGAGGGAGCAGTTGGGGACAGGGGGAGGAAAGGAATAGTAGGGGAAATATAAAGGAGGGTGTAACAATGCTCAATAGGACTCATTAGCTAGCTCATGTAACTATAACCCCTCTGTACAGTATCTTTACAATAAAAAAAATATATATTTAAAAAATCTGAGAGCCGGGTGCCGGTGGCTCACGCCTGTAATCCTAGCTACTGAGGAGGCTGAGATCTGAGGATAGAGGTTCAAAGCCAGCCGGGGCAAGGAAAGTCCGTAAGATTCTTATCTCCAGAAGTGGAGCTGTGGCTCAAGTGGTAGAGTGCTAGCCTTGAGCTGAAGAGCTAAGGGACACCACCCAGGCCCAGAGTTCAGGCCCCATGACCGGACCCAAAAAAAAAAGTCAGAAGTAGAGCTGTGGATCAAATGGCAGAGCACCAACCTAGAGCATGAAAGCTAAAAAGCTAAGGGATAGTACCCAGGCCCAGAATTCAAGCCCCAGTAATGTCCCTTACCAAAAAAGGAATAATCCAGCCAGGAATTCAAGCCCAATTTTTTTTTAAAAAAGAAGTACACAGTTCACCAAAAGATCTACAGTAGAATGCTGACAACAGTATCCTTCAGAGCAGCCTACAACTAGAAATTATCCAAATGCTCACCAAGAGTTGAATAAAAAAAAACAAACAAAATATTCAGGCTGGGAAGGTGGCTCAGTGGTAAAGTGCTTGCCTTGCATGCATGAGGCCCTGGGTTCGAATCCCCAGCACCACATAAGCCGAAAAAGCTGGAAATGGCGCTGTGGCTCAAGTGGTAGAGTGCTAGCCTTGAGCTGTAGAGATGAGGGACAGCACCCAGGCCCAGAGTTCAGGCTCCACAACCGACAAAAAAAAAAATGCAAACAACAATGAAAATAGAATATTCAAAGCAATATTCAATAGCATATTCAAACAGCAATGAGAATAAACAAGCCACAGTTGCACAAAATAATATGAATGAATTTCATAAACACAATATTCAGCAGAAAAATGGAAGCCACAAAAAAAGCACACACATCTGATCCCATTTACATAAAGATGAAGCAGATGAACAAATAAATATATGCTACGCTATGCCAAGCCAAGAGAGTGGTTACCACAGGTGGAAGTGATAAGGGTAAAGGACAACCCAGGTGGATAAATAACTCAGGATATATGAAATTATCCTGCTAGAAAACTCAGGATAGCTAAGGCTATATGCAGTTTTCTACATACTATACTATAAGAATTGTTTGGTTATTTTTCGTTGAAAAGAAAAAGAAAGGCCTACCCATTGGAATAAAGAGTCCACCATCCTCTCTCTCTTCCTCAGCTTGGTGAGCCAGACTCCTGAGTGGCTCTTCTTGAGGAGAAGCACAAACATCTGGCTGGGATGATTTCCTAGGCTGGGCTCCTGGGTCTGCAGACTGGCTGCCTGACGGCAGTAAAGGTATCTCCTCCCCTCCAGAATGCATTTGAGGTTTCCCTAGAAGAATCACAAATACTGCTCCACACTTTGCCCATTCTCAGTCAAGCTCTTTACAGAAATCAGCATTTTCTTATAGTCTTTTTAGTTAGACAAATTCATAAATGAAAAGTGTCAAAATCAAAGCTCAGATCCAAATTCTTCACCTGTAAAGTCAAGGAGTTAAACTAGAATACTGCTAAAAATCCTTCTAATTCTAATATGCTTTGAGTTTTGCTTCCTACAGAAAAACCAGGGATTTAGAACAGTGAAAACAGCGCTTAAAGCCCTGAGTTCATCCTCAGTACCAAGGGAGAGAGAAAAGTTTAATCACATGGGGGAAAGGGAAGTCTGATGACAAAGGGGCCTTTATAAATGACCATTAACATACATTTATTCAATATCTAAAAAATGTCCTGATCAGCCAGAAGAGGTGCTCACACTTGGGGGACTGCAGCAGAAGGATCTCAAGTTCAAGATAGCAGCTAATAATAAGCAGCAAGGCCCTGTCTAATAATTTTTTTTTAAAGACTTAACTGGGTAAACTATAATTTCAGAGAGCAAAAGAGTAAGAATCACCATAACATTATAAATACATCTAAGTTCATTAGACAACTTTCTCACCTGAATTCTTCATAATTCTTCCTTTAATGGGGAGAGGGTAGCATTAAAAAGGAAAAGAACCATTCATGCACTATCAAAAGTAAACATTGGAAACTAAGTTGTCAGAGAAAAAAGAAATGTACAGAGGCTTCTACACATAAAATATCTCTAAAATACATATAAGGAACATATACAGTGATCTGACAGGAGATGTGGAGAACAAAGAGACAATAAAAAGTGACAAACTTTTCACTGTATACTTTCTGCACCATCCTGAGGCTTTTGTTTTTGTTTTTGTTTTTTGGAGTCCGGTCATTGGGCCTTAACTCTGGGCCTGGGCGCTGTTCCTCAGCTCTTCAGCTCAAGGCTAGCGTTCTACCACTTGAGCTACAGTGCCACTTCCGGCTTTTTTCTTTTTGCTTATGTGGTGCTGAGGAATCGAACCCAGGGCCTCAGGCATGCAAGGCAAGCGCTCTACCACTGAGCCACCTTCCCAGCCCCAAAAAGGAAGCTTTTTTTTTTGGGGGGGGGGAGGGTCCAGTTGTGGGGCCTGAACTCTGGGCCTGGGTGCTGTCCCTCAGCTCTTCAGCTCAAGGATAGCACACTACCACTTGAGCCATAGCACTACTACCGGCTTGTTTTTTTTCTGCTTATGTGGTGCTGAGGAATCAAACCCAGGGCCTCATGCATACAAGGCAAGCGCTCTACCACTCAGCCACCTTCCCAGCCCCCATCCTGAGGCTTCAACTCAGGACCAGAGTGCTATCTCTGAGGGTTTTTATGTCGTTGCTCTACAGCTCCACTTCTGGCATTTTAGTGGTCAATTTGAGATAAGAAATAACAGAGACTTTCCTGCTTAGGCTGGCTTCAAACTGCAGTCCTAAAATCTTATCATGAGCAGCTAGGATTATAGGTGTGAGCCACCAGTACCTGGCTCTGCTTTTTTATTTTTTTTCCTTGAGAATGGATCCTACTATTCCAGACTGTCCCAGAACTCATCATGTAGCCTTGGCTGGCCTCAAACTCTCTATCCTCCTGCCTCAGCTTCTGAAATGCTGAGGTCACAGACATATACCACCACACCCAACTACTTTCCATATTTCTTAATTCTTTTACTTATTTTTATATTGTCTAGTTGATTTTTAGCTAATTCAAAAAAAGACCTTTATTTGTCACTGTGCTCAATTCAAAACATATAGCCTAAGCCAGGCACTGGTGGCTCACTCCTGTAATCCTATTCAGGAGGCTGAGATCTAAGGATCACAATTCCAAGCCAGCCAGGGTAGGAAAGTCTGAAAGACTCTTATCTCCGATTAAGCACCAAAAAGCTAGAATTGGAGCTGTAGCTTAAGTATAGCACTAGGAACTGGGAATGTGGCTTAGTGGTAGAGTTCTTCCCTAGCATGCATGAAGCCCTGGGTTTGATTCCTTAGTACCACATACACAGAAAAAGGGTGATATAGGGCTGGGAAGGTAGCTCAGCGGTAGAGTGCATGCCTTGCAAGCATGAGGCCCTGGGGTCGATTCCTCAGCATCACATAAACAGAAAAAGCCGGAAGTGGCGCTGTGGCTCCAGTGGTAGAGCACTAGCCTTGAGCTGAAGAGATGAGGGACAGCGCCCAGACCCAGAGTTCAGGCCCCATGACTGGCAAAAAAAAAAAAAAAAAGAGTGATATGGCTCAAGTGATAGAATGCTAGCCTTGAACAAAAGAAGCTCAGGGACAATGCCCAGGCCCTGAGTTCAAGCCCCAAGACTGGTCTAAAAGAAGGGAAGAAGAAATACAGCAGTACAGCACCAGTCTTGAGCAAAAAAAAAAGGGAAAAAAAAAGCTCAGGGACAAAAAGTAGGCCTTGAGTTCAAGCTTCAGGATCAAAACAACAACAACAAAAACAAGCCGGAGCCTGTAATCCTAGCTACTTAGGAGGCTGAGATCTGAGGATCATGGTTTAAAGCCAGCCTAGGCAGGAAAGTCTGTGAGACTCTTATCTCTAATAAACCACCAGAAAACCAGAAGTGGCACTGTAGCTCAAGTGGTAGAGCACTAGCCTTGAGCTGAAGAGCTCAGGGACAGCGCCCAGGCTCAGAATTCAAGCTCCACGACCACCACTAACAAAACAACAACAACAACAAGCCAGGAGACAGTGGCTCACACCTGTAATCCTAGCTACTCAGGAGGCTGAGATCTGAGAAAGAAAACATCTAAATCCTATATCCTTTAGAAGTTTCTCTCAGCCAAAGAAGAAGCTTCAATGAACAACACAGTATATAAGTTTGCATGAATCTCTGATAAATTGGAGTATGATGTTACTCTGGTTGTTTTTAATCTCAAGAATGTTGTAATATCTCTAAAAGATTCAATTAGGTCATTAGATTCCCCAACAATTTTGACAATTTACATAAGAAAGAAGTACAGGGGCTGCATATGCATGAAGCCCTAGGCTCAATTCCTTAGTAACGCATACAAAGGAAAAGTCAGAAGTGGCACTATGGCTCAAGTGGTAGAGTGCTAGCCTTGAGCAAAGAAGCTCACCAAACAGTGCCAAGGCCCTCAGTTCAAGTCTCAGGACTGGCAAAAAAAAGTAAAAAACTAAAAAATTAAAAAACGGGGCTGGGAATGTGGTTTAGTGGTAGAGTGCTTGCCTAGCATGAATAAAGCCGAGTTCAATTTCTCAGTACCACATACACAGAAAAAGCCAGAAGTGGCACTGTGACTTAAGTTGAACAAAAGAAGCTCCGGGTCAGTGCCCAAGCCCTGAGTTCAAGCCTCACAACTGGCAAAAAATAAATAAATAAAAGGAAAAATAAAAAAAGTGTAGTAAAAATAATTTTAAAAATGAGGCTGAGAAGGTGACTCAGTGGTAGAGTGCTTGCCTCTCATGCATGAGGCCCTGGGTTCGATTCCTCAGTACCACATAAACAGAAAAGGCTGGGAGTGGCACTGTGGCTCAAGTGGCAGAGTGTAACCTTGAGCTGAAGAGCTGAGGGACAGAGCCTAGGCCAGAGTTCAGGCCCCACAACCAACAACAACAACAAAAAGAACATAAAGGAAAAAGTTTCTGCCCATTCATAAAGTTCGATGTTGATGCTTAATGAGCTCTGTGGCTCAAATTACAAACTAAATCAGAATCTTCCTTGTAGAAATACTTTCCTATAAAAGTACTACAGAAAAAGCAATGAGAGGGACTGGGAATGTGGCTTAGTTGGAGAGTGCTTGCCTAGCATGCATGAAGCCCTGGGTTCAATTCCTCAGTACCATATAACTAGGGAAAAAAAAAAAAAAAAAAAAGCAAGAAGTGGCGCTGTAGCTCAAGTGGTAGAGCGCTTGCCTTGAGCACAGAGAGGGTCAAGGACAGTGCCCAGACCCTGAGTTCAAGCCCCAGAACCAGAGGAAGAAAGAAAGAAAGAAAGAAAGAAAGAAAGAAGGAAGGAAGGGAGAGGGAGGGAGGGAGGGAGGGAAGGAGAGAGAGAGAGAGAGGAAAGAAGGAACAAAGAAAAAAAGAGACAAAAAAGGAAGGAAGGAAGAAAGGAAGGAAGGAAGGAAGGAAGGAAGGAAGGAAGGAAGGAAGGAAGGATGGAAGGAAGGAAGGAAGGAAGGAAGGAGAGAGAAAAGCAATGACAAAATAGAACAAGTTGAGTATCTTTTACCTGAAATGCTCCGGTCTACTTTTTTTTTTTTGGGGGGGGGGTCCGGGGCCGGACCTGGGCCTGGGCGCTGTCCTTCAGCTCTTCAGCTCAAGGCTAGCGCTCTACCTCTTGAGCCACAGGGTCACTTCCAGCTTTTTTCTTTTTGCTTATGTGGTGCTGAGGAATCGAACCCAGGGCCTCATGCATGCAAGGCAAGCGCTCTACCACTGAGCTACCTTCCCAGCCCAGGTCTACATTTTTTTTAAGATTTTGGAATATGTGGAATATACATTAATGCGGTATTTTGGTAACAGGAACTAAGTCTAAGCAAAAAATTGATGCATTTTTCACACATATTTATAATACAGTCTGAGGACTGTTTTGTACAATACTTTTTTAGTATACCTGGGATTTGTTTTGTTTTATTTGCAGTACTGGGTTTAAACTCAAGACCTTGTATTTTCTAGGCAGGCACTCTACTCCTCTTTTGTACTTATTTTTGAGGTAGTCTCACTTGCTGCCCTGGTGCATAATACCTATTTTAGGCTTCCTGTAGGAGCTGGAATGGCAAGCATACACCACAAAATACTTGTTGAAAAGATGTCTTGAAGGTATGCCCATTCTAGCTTCAAATACAATCCTTTTGACCTCAGTCTCCCAAGAAGTCAGGATTACAAGTATGAGTAACTAGTACCTGCCCACCCACCCACCCACCCCTCCCTCCCTTCCTTGCTTTCTTTCTTCCCTCTTTTTGGCAGTACTGGGTATTTAAACTCAGGGTTCTCACACTCACTATACAAGCCATCTACCACTTAAGCCATGTCTACAGGCCTTTTTTGCTTTAGTTATTTTTTTTTCCAGATAGGGTCTTTCCTACCTACACTTATCACACTGCTAGGATTATAGGTGTGCACCACTACACCTAGTTTATATCTACATTTTTTCTTCCGTCATAGGGCCTGAACTCTGGGCCTGGGTTGCTGTCCCTCAGCTGTTCAACTCAAGGCTAGTGCTCTACCACTTGAGCCACAGTGCCACTCCAGCTTTTTCTGTTTATGTGGTGCTGAGTAATCAAACTCAGGGCCTCATGCATGGGAGGCAAGCACTCTACCACTGAGCCACCTTACCAGCCCTGCATCTACATTTTAACTACAATCCTTCAGATATGGAATTTCCCACTTTAGCATCATATTAGTATTTTAAAAGTTTTAGGATATTTTAGTTTTCAGATCTTCAGATTAGAGATGCTCCACCTAAATTAACAAGGAAAATATAAATCCAAGACATTTCATATCTTACCTCTTTCTTCCTTAACTTCTTCACTAGGCTCTTCTGGAAAAGGCTCCTTTATGATAGATTGATCAGCTCTATCTTCTTGGGTAACTGGTCCAGGCCTGAGGGCAATTTTCTTCCCTCTTCTTGAAGCAGTAGCCTGTTGTTTTCCTTTACTAATTTGTACATTAAGAGGATTTGAAGAGTCCATGGAAGATAGGCTGATTCCTTGAGAGACAGCTGCATCAACAGAATCCAAGACTGGTAAAGTTGTGTGCTGGGTAAGCATCATCCTAGGGGTCAAAGATGGATCCTCCACACCAAGCTGATCTCCTGCATCTTGCACAGATTGAACTTCAAAGCCAACTGCACTGTCATGACTTGAACCCCAGGACAATGACCCCAAGTCTCTAACCTGGTCGGATTCTGGTTTAACAGTTGACTCAAGGTCTAAGTCATCTTCTTCCTGATTGCTTTCATGCTGTAGAGACTCTGTCATTGTAGTTCTTCTCTTCTTACAGGGCAACATTTTAAAAGTCCCACTTTTGAGCCATTCTAAAAGGATAAAAGCAAGTGCTTATCATCTTCATAACAGTACTAACATTGTCTCAATTAGCTTTTCATTTCATTCATGTTCAATCTTGCCCATCATTCCTTTGAGGGAAAGATGAGAAAATGATGAGTGAGTTCAAATCCCAACTCAACATCTCAATTTCCCAAAACTTGTGTTTCAATCTTAAGAATAATTAGAATAGGGCTGGGAAGATGACTTAGTGGTAGAGTGCTTGCCTAGCATGTACGAAGCCCTGGGTTCGATTCCTCAGCAACACATATACAGAAAAAGCTGGAAGTGGCACTGTGGTTCAAGTGGCAAAGTGCTAGCCTTAGCAAAAAAAAACTCAGGGATAATACCAAGGCCCTAAGTTCAAGCCCCAGGACTGGCACAAAAAAAATAACAATAATAATTGTTCTTAGCTTACAGAGCTGTTAAAAGATTTCAAGACTAAGTCATTAGCGTTAGTTTCTACTATTACCATCAGAAAGAGAATAGCATAACCCTAAGAGCAGTATATGAACTCAAACTGTCTGAATTTGTTTCCTAAGTCAATTTCTCTCTAACTTTGTGTCCTTACATTAATTACCTAATTTGAACCTGTTTATCTATAAAATGAAATAAAAGCTAGGCATAGTGGCGCTGTGGCTCAGGTGTAGAGTGCTCGCCTTGAGCTGAAGAGCTGAGGGACAGCGCCCAGGCCCAGAGTTCAAGCCCTGTGACCACCAAAAAAAAAAAGGGTTCTCTGACTATTGAGTCTGCGAAGGTGGCTCAGTGGTAGAGCGCTTGCCTTGCATGCCTGAGGCCCTGGGTTCAATTCCTCAGCACCATATAAGCAAAAAGAAAAAGTCGGGAGTGGCGCTGTGGCTCAAGTGGTAGAAGAGCTGAAGAGCTGAGGGACAATGCCCAGGCCCAGAGTTTAGGTCCCATGACTGGACCCCCAAAAAAAAAAGGCTAGGCATTAACAGTTCACACCTATAATCCTACCTACTCAAGAGGTTGAGAGGGCTGGGAAGTTGGCTCAGTGGTAGAAGCGCTTGCCTTGCATGCCTGAGGCCCTGGGTTCGATTCCTCAGCACCACATAAGCAAAAGGAAAAAAGCCGGAAGTGGTGCTGTGGCTCAAGTGGTGGAGCGCTAGCCTTGAGCTGAAGAGCTGAGGGACAGCGTCCAGGCCCAGAGTTCAGGCCCCACGACCGGACCCAAAAAAAAAAAAAAAGAGGTTGAGATCAGAGAATCTTGGTTCAAAACTAGACAAGGCAGAAAAATCAAGAGACTTATCTCCAATTAACCAGCCAAAAGCAAGAAGTGGAGCTATGGTTCAAGTGGCAGACCACTAGCCTTGAGTGAAAAAGCTGAACAAGAGCCCTGAGTACAAGCCCCAGTACCAGTTTAAAAACATTAAATTAGCCTGGGAAGGTGGCTCAGAGGTAGTGCTTGCCTTGCATGCATGAGGCCCTGGGTTCAATTCCTGAGCACCACATAAGCAGAAAAAGCCAGAAGTGGTGCTGAGCCTCAAGTGATAGAGCAGTAGCCTTGAGCTGAAGAGCTGAGGGACGGCACCTAGGCCCAGAGTTCAGGCCACACAACTGGCAAAAAATAAAGAAAGAAAATAAAAAATAAAAACATTAGCACCTACTCATTAGATAATAAATGATCAACAAATGCTTGCTATTGGTGTTTTCATAAACAGGTACTGCCATTAATAGAAATAATACAAAAGTAAAATGGAATTAAAACAGGCTACAATAGCAGAAATGTGTTGAAAAAGAGAGTTCTATACTATGTTACTTCTGGATTCTTGTCTTCAGTTCTAGTTACCAAATTCTTGTCTTAGTGAATCTGTTGGCAAACCTTTTAGAGTCATCACTTTTTAGTATCTCATTACTTGTCTGTCTCCATTCTGCAAAACTACATTGAGAAAAAGGAATCCTTCAACTAGTGTCCCTATTACCCAACAGTGTTGAGGTATTGCACATGCTAAGAGAATGTTCCCTGAATAAACAAATGAATTTAAATGGGCTTGAACAACCGACTGTGCAACATTTGGACCAAGCATTAAGCACTGTATGGAAATTGATTGTATCTTTCCCTCCCGGAAAACTTTACATTCCTAAGTAGGTCCAAGAACAAACTAAACTACCTTTTTGTTACAATTAGTTCTCCATTACTAGCAATCTTTGAGCAAAGTCTGAATGACCATCCAATTGATAGGAGTACTAGAGAAAATTTGGAATAGAGAACTTTAAAAAAAAATTTAAAAAGCTCTTTCTGGTTCTAAGAGATTGATCTATAAGGTTTTAAACCTCCCTGATTTGGTTACTCTAGAACATTAAAACAAACCCCTCCTCACCCACCAACCAATGTTTTTTATCTTGGTTAAACTGTGGGGGGGAGGGGGGAGGTGATGACGGAAGGAGTGAGAGTAATCTAGAAAAGTCCTTTATTTCACAGATGAGTGTCTGAGGCCCACAAAGAGAAAGAAGAAGAAGAGGGGTGGTAGAGGATAAGGGAGGGAGGGAAGGAAAGAAGGAAGAAAAGGAAGGGAGGGAGGGAGGGCAAAAAGGAGGGAGGGACAGACTGACAGCTGCTATTCAGTTAGCAGTGTGTGGGGAATCGGCTCAAAGTGCTTCCAACACAGCCAAAGTTCGAAAACACCTGATCCCTTGGGAACCAAAGTCAGCCCTACAAGACAAATGAATGCTAAGCTCGAAGGCCGCCCCGCGCGTCCCACTCCTGAGGAAGCATTTCCAAAAGGGCCCCTAGCACCGCTTTCCACAACGGCGGGAACGCTGGCCCAAGTCCGCACTACCAGTTTAATACCTTCGCGCCTCTAGCTCCAGTTCCGCACCCCGCGCCCACCTTCAGACCCGAGCCCCCTGGTCCTGAACACCCGGGTCCAAGAGCCTCAGGTCCCGCCCGCCTCTTCCCGCCCACCACACACAGACCCAGTACCATCACAGGCCGGCCGGATCCCGCGGAAACTCAGCTTCGGCACCACCGGAAGTCAGGCAACGGCAGAGACTGTCGTGCGCGCCCCCGAGTCCAGGAGCGCGGAGACTCAGGGCACCAAGGAGCATGCGCCGAACACCAAGCGCCATGATAGTTGAGGGCCAATGAAGCCACATCGCAAGTACGTCTGTTATTGGGCGGGGTGGGGGGGGGGGAATTAAAGGGACCAGTTCGCCTTCTCTACCCACGGAGTAATCTTATTAAAACCTGGGAGGTTGGGGCTGGGAATGTGGCTTAGTGGTGGAGTGCTTGTCTCGCATGCAAGAAGCCCTGGGTTCGATTCCTCAGAACCAAATATACAGAAAAAGCCAGACGTGGCTCTGTGGCTTAAGTGGTGGAGTGCTAGCCTTGAGCTGAAGAGCTGAGGACCAGGCCAAGATCAAGACCCACGACCGACAAAAAAAAAAAAAAGATATTAATTTAGGTGATGTGGTCTCTGCAATGTACCTGTGGCTAAAGTTTAATGGGAGATTTTACAAAGTTCCTCTGTCACCAGGGAATCAGGTATCTGGCATCTCAGCCCCGGCAATGCATGGACCCAATGTCCAAGAAGGTGACTGCAAGCCTAGGCAATGTCCAATAACTGTTTTTGAATAAAAATTATTTCCAGGCCCATGTTCTTTCCACTTTTCTACAAGAAAGCTGAAAAAAATGCTTTCATTTACAGATGAATCAATGACAAATATTTCTGTATTTGAAGCAACAGTGTGGAAGCAGAATCCAGAAAGGAAGTTTCCACACATAAAATGAGGGGAGGAACTGATGCATTTGCCAATAATCACCATTAACCTGACTTTAGCTAAATCACACCAACTCTCCAAAATACAAGAAAGTCTCCAGAAGTTACTGTTTCTCCAGAAATTTTATTTGTGTCCTCCTTTTGATCTTTAGGAACGCATGTTTTAGTTTGCTCCCCCCTTCTTTCCTAAGCACTTGACGCTCGCTAAAGTGGAAAAGTCAACACTGAGTAAAGCACTTTTCAGTGCAAAAAAAAACAAAACAAACAAACTTGATTTAACACACCACAAATTTCAACTTTATGTGTATAATTAAAGATTTTTAGCAAAATTTCAAAGTTGGGCCACCATCTACAGATTTGGTCTTTATTCAGTTTCTAAAGTTCAAGACATTTTCCATAATTACTATCTATGGTCTCAGAAATGCATAAAAATAACGGCAATCGATACAGAAATCAAGGCAATATAGAATTTTGTTTTTCCAAAGTCTTAGAACCCAGAATATTTTCCTGTACTAGCCCAGGGAACTAAGAATCACAGGATTTATAAACTGTCATTATTATCTACCTACAAATCTGTTTTCTGAGATCTCTAGAACTCGCGATTCTCCGGCCTCACATTCCAAATGAGATCACAGATGTTTGCCACCCACTAAAACCGGCTCATACCAAAGCGGCTTTCCTCTGACTTTGGAATTTTTGCCTCTGACTCCCAGCGCGTGAGAGGGCGGGGCCTCGCCCTCGGGAAAACTCGGCAGAGGGAGGAGCTTACTCCCAAAGACTTCTGGGAAGGGGGCGGGGTCTGCCTTTCGGAACCTTTCGGACGGAGGCGGAGTCTTCCTGCCGAGGGTCATTCGGAAAAAGGCGGAGCCTATCTCGCATCAGGACCAGTCTCACTGCACCTGCATCCTTAGCTCAGAGCATCCCTGGAGCATCTTGAGAGGAGAACGCAGCTGACAACCAGGGACCGGACCGTCGCAGGAGACGTCCACCAGATACCTTCCCCCTCCCCTGATCTAGAGCTCTACAGCAGCAGCCTCGGTACTGACTGAGGAAGACTAGAGTTATCTGACCATTGCAAAAGCATTTATAGCAACAGCTTCTGATTACGACATGGCTGAGATCACCAACATTCGACCTAGCTTTGGTAAGTAGAGTCGGGCAAAGTAAGCTTGAAGTGGTCAGAACCGTTGCAAAGCCGAAAGGCCCAAGCAATGGGCAGAGAGTGAATCCCAGATAGGATCAGGCCTGAGGTAATAAGTAAGTGGTCAGTGAACAGCGCCTGAACTTGAGCTGTGGGGATGCAGGAGCTCGCCAGGCCGGAGGGCCACCGAGGGTGGGAATGTCCAGGATGCTAAAACCTTGTACGGTGCACTGTCAGCACTGCTGGAGGTGAAAACAGCCAGCGTGCGGAGGACGTGAACCCCTCCTTCTGTGGAGAGGAGAGGTGGGGTAGGCCGAGCCCTCCCCTTGGGGCACGCAGGGCGGTGCCCCTTCCTCCCCCTCCCACTTCTAAGGGCTGCGGGGGAGGGAGGTGGCAAGTGGGATGGGGCATCAAGATGGCAGCTTGGAGACTATGTGGCTAGCAGCCAGGGGAGGCGGTGGCCTCTGGGGAGAGAGGGGTGCGGGGGTGGGGAGCAAAAAGGAAGCCACTCCTTAAGCCGGTCAGCTGGATGCTGGAGCTGTGAGGAAGCCCAGCAAGCTCCATTCTGCATCGTAATGGTGGGGTCCTTCTGATGCTACCAAATGGCGCTTGCCGCTGCTAGGCTAGGGGATGACGTGATGTCTATTTCTGGGCCTCCTGGCAGCGCCTAGACTCTCCTTCCGGGGCCTTTGTTCCCTGTTTGCCCGGACTGGCTTTTCAAAAAAGGGGACTCACCCGCCTTGGTGCTAGCGGGGGCTTGATCCAGGCCTGAGAGGGAGGGGCGAAAGAGGCCCAGCCTAGGGGAGGCCGCTTTGTGTACCAAAGAAAGCATTACGTCATCTCAGAGCTGCTGGTCCCCAACCCAGCCAGCCCTGTGGGCTCCAAGATCGCTGTAACACTCCCTTGGTGCAGAAAGTGGAGTGAGAAATAGGTGGGAAAGTGGGGGAAACAAGCTTGAGAAGCAAGTCCTTTTTCCCCCCTTTCTTAGTAATTCTTCCAGAATTTACTGGAAAGAAAACTTCTTATGCTTGCTCACTAGTTACATAAATAAATAAAATCAATCTACCCTCCTTCTTTCTCTTCTATACTATGTGAGAGTTGCTGCTGCCAGCCTAAAACCGTCATGTGCTTTAAGAAATTCTGTCCTTCAGACAATCCAGAAGGTTTTGTGCATCAGAGTCCACAGACTGGGAACACAAGCCAGCTAGAAAATGGCTTTTCCCAATGGCTAGTAAAACACATATGGCAATCCGCACAACCCAGTGACTCTCATTATAAGGAAGACCTCAGAGGAGGAAAGTATTCAGACAATAAGTCTTCACGCCCATTAAATACTTATTCCTATTTATTCCCCAAGGGTCAATCCTATTTCTTTCTTATACTTTACTTTCTGCATCTTTTTTTTTTTTCAGTCATGGGGCTTGAACTCTATGCCTGGATGCTATCCCTGAGCTCTTCAGCTCAAGGCTAGTGCTCTACCACTTGAACCACAGTGCCACTTCTGGCCTTTTCTGTTTATGTGGTGCTGAGGAATCGAATCCAGGGTCTCATGCATGCGAGGCAAGCATTCTACTGCTGAGCCACCTTCTGAGCCCCATCTGGATCCTTTTCTTTTGAGTCCTAAGTTTTCCAAGTTTAAGTTCCTTTTTTAATCATATATGCAACCTATTTTTTCTTCCTTCTCTTTCATTTTCTTCTTATGTCCTCTTCTTCACAGATACCTTTTTCTAATTACAATTCCAGGGTCCTTGGAAAAATAGATGATATAGAATATAAGTGGTTTCCTTTAGAGAGAATACTAGTAGAAAGGAAAAAAATTATATATATATATATATAATCCCTTTTATGTACTGCATTTTATTTAATCTTAACAAAAATATAGTCACAAGATGAGGAAATGAAAAAAAAAAAGATCAGGAAATGACTAAGAATGTGGCTTAGTGGTAGAGTGCTTGCCTAGCATGCATGAAGCCCCAGGTTCCATTCCTCAGTACCACATAAACAGAAAAAGCCCGAAGTGGCTCTGTGGTTCAGGTTGTAAAGTGCTAACCTTGAGCAAAAGAAGCTCAGAAACAGTGGCCAGGCCCCAAGTTCAAGCTCCAGGACTGGCAAAAAAGAAAAAAGAAAAGAAGAAAAAAGAAAAATGATGAGGAATGAGGAAACCAAGACTCATGAAGAAAAAAATACTTGGATAAAGTAAAATGAACTAGTAATGATGGAGCTAGGATTTAAACCAAACTTTGGTTTAGCTGATACCAAAGCTTGTTTTCATCCCAATGTATTACTGGCTAACTTGATGGTAAAAGTCTACATTTAGGAAAGAAAGTGTTAATAATAAAGTCTGAGCTAGGTCAAATCTGAGCTAGGCGAATTGGAGGTAGAGTGGGTGGCTCAATGGCAGGGTGTTGGCATTGTATAGACAAGGCCCTGGCTTCAATCTCTAGCGCCATGAAACAGTAACACCACAAATAATCTATCTGAGCAAAGGTTAAAGGCACAGGTGTATCTCGAAGTTCTTTAGACCCTTCTCTCTAGAGAAAACTACCACTCCTAGCTTTTTCACTTCTCAAGGAATAGTTCATTTGAAAGACTTGCTTGATACACCAAAGTGACATTCTGTTATCCATGACCTTGAAGGACAAACAAGCAGTACAGGTCACACAATTTACAGCTTCTTTAAAATACTTCAGCCCTTTAACCCAAATTCCTTTCCTTGCCAACTTTTTGCTTAAAGCAAGACAGAGGGACTTCTGAGTTTTGGCATCTCTGATTTTCTAGTTTATTATTTGGGATATTTGGGGTATAATAAGCACTCAAATGTAGGAAACAAGATAGGATAGCTAACTAAGATTAGCTAACTAATCCACAAATTGAGCCAGGTGCCAGTGGACCACACCTGTAATCATAGCTACTCAGGAGGCTGAGATCTGAGGATTGAGGTTCAAAGCCAGCCTGGGCAGCAAAGTCCATGACACTCTTCAATTAACCACCAGGAAACCAGAAGTGGCGCTGTGGCTCAAGTGGTAGAGCGCTAGCCTTGAGCTGAACAGCTGAGGAACAATGCCCAGGCCCAGAGTTCAAGCCCCATAGCTAATAATAATAATAATAATAATCCACAAATGGGTGTATCTGCGTTTC